CCTGTATTGAAATTGTCTAGCCAGACTACACAAGTGTAATTTATCTTTTCCCCTTCTGTTGAGCGGCCTTTTCTAGTTCAAAGCTTACTACCACTTCTCTCGTTGGCAAATCTCAAGCTGTACATCTTCTTTTGGCTTTCAACTCTCCATTGTAGTTGACACTCTGTTTTTCAGGTTTGAAATCTCATGCTGTCACATTATATGAAGCTGGTAAGTTGGGTCATCCTAGCATTGCAGATCTTTGCAAAGATCTCAGCTCATTAGAGGGAGCCAAATTTGAGGGTGAATTACAGGAATTTGCAAATCATGCCTTTAGTCTCCGGTGTGTTCTAGAATGTCTGCTCTCAGGTGGGCTTGCTGCTGATGCAGAAGCAGATGAAGTTTGCAATAAGCTCAGCACAGGGGCTTCAAACAGTGATGAGTCCACTTTGATTGCTGATATAACTTCCACTGACAACAGATCAGGAACCTCTGGTCTTGATGAAGCTGAAGCAGGAGTGCGCGATTCGACAAATTCAGAAGTTCCCCCAGATGGCAGCGAGGTGATGTCATCTGCTTCTCTATCTGATGAGGGGATAAATTCTGAGAAAAATGATGACAAGGTTACTACTCCAGCTGAAGGTTCTGATATTGGAAAAAGCTCAAGAAGGAAAAGGAGGTACCGTGTTGATATTCTGCGTTGTGAAAGTTTGGCTGCTTTAGCACCAGCAACGCTAGACAGGTTATTCCGTCGTGACTATGATATTGTTGTATCTATAGTTCCTCTCCCACATTCAGCAGTTCTTCCTGGACCAAAAGGTCCTCTCCATTTTGGCCCTCCTACTCATTCGTCATTGACACCATGGATGAAATTGGTGCTATATTCAACTGTAGGTTGTGGGCCCCTATCAGTTGTTCTAATGAAAGGACAATGCTTAAGGTTGCTTCCTGCTCCATTGGCTGGGTGTGAGAAGGCTTTAATATGGTCTTGGGATGGTTCAACAGTTGGTGGGTTGGGAGGAAAATTCGAAGGAAATTTGGTAAAGGGAAGTGTCCTCTTGCATTGCTTAAACTCTCTGGTGAAGTACTCTGCTGTTCTTGTGCAACCACTCAGCAAATCTGATCTTGATAAATCTGGAAGAGTTATTACAATGGATGTGCCTCTGCCCCTGAAAAATGCTGATGGTTCAATTGCTTGTGTGGGGAACGAATCGGGTCTCTGTGAACAAGAAAGGTCAAGATTAAATTCCCTATTGACTAGTGTGACAAAAAAATTGGAATTACCAACGATCGGTTATATTCGCCTCTTAAAGCTTTTTAATGAAAGGGAAACAGACCTCTTTGCTCCTGATGACCAGAAATATGAATGGGTTCCTCTAAGTGTGGAGTTTGGGATGCCTCTTTTTAGTCCCAAACTATGCAACAACATATGCAAAAGGGTGGTTGCATCAGAGATACTGCAGTCTGATTCACTTACCGAACATCATGACACGATGCAAGGCTTAAGGAAAAGGTTGAGAGATGTGTGTGCAGAATACCATGCAACTGGTCCTGCTGCCAAGCTCCTTTACCAGAAAGAGCAACAAGCAAAGGATTCGTCTAGGCAGCTCTTGATGAACTATGCTAGTGGAAGGTGGAATCCCCTTGTTGATCCTTCTTCTCCTATATCTGGAGCTTCAAGTGATCTTCAGAGGCTTAAACTTGCTAATCGTCAGCGTTGCAAGACTGAAGTGCTGAGTTTTGATGGGAGCATTTTAAGGTGTGTCTTCCTTTTTATTGTTTGCTATTCATTCATGTTTATTACCCGGCACCTTTATCCCAAGTTATAGCTTCCAGGTGCATGTCTGTAATGTAGAACTCCTGATAGTATGGTCTTTAGGTTACATTTGATTTTGACTAGTGGCAGGGACCTTCAGTTGATTAAATAACCAACTTTTCAATTAAATATATTCTTCAAACTTCCATTTCCACCGCTAAAACCTAGGTTTAAATTGATGCTTTCAACCTTTAGGTTGTCTTTACCTCTTCAATTCTACCATGAAACAAACAAGTTCTAAAGGAACAAGCAAAATTCAACTGAAAAAATAAAAAGCAAAAATTGTCCCAGACAATGATTGGAAAAAGAAGACGGTAATGGTTGCAACTTGCAACAAACAATTTGGATGATGACCATCATGGTCCCAAACGTCATCCACTATGGTGGAGTTGATCTAATGATTGAAGATTTTAAACTCATCCTTTATATAAGACTGGTAGTTTTATAGCTTTGGTTGGCGTTACACAAGTTATTTAAAAATCTTTTTTCTGTTACACTCGCAGATCATATGCACTGACTCCTGTGTACGAGGCCTCTGCTAAAGCGATTGAAGAAGCCTCTCTCGTCAATACGATTAAAATTGATCCAAATGAAGCAGATAGTAGAGAAGTAGCTCTCCCTGGTGTCAATCTTATTTTTGATGGCTGTGAATTGCACCCTTTCGAGATAGGTGCTTGCCTGCAGGCTCGCCAACCGGTCGCGTTGATTGCGGAGGCTGCAATTGTCTCAGCTTCTGCAATCAAATAGTTTTCTTGTGTGCAACAAAGTTCTCTTGGTGGGGGCGGCAAAAAGACAGATTATCTTCCGGCTAACGTTCTTCTGATTATTTTTGGCTTGCTGCTATTAACTTGAGGTTACTTGTGCGAGTGCAGGTACTTGATCCATTCCCGAGTAAGTCGTTCCATATCTCCAATCCTTGAACTTCTTAATGACAGTACAACTCCTTGATGTAAACTGGTAATTTGTTGATAGTGAATTAGGTGTGTCAGTAGCATGTTGTTCTTGAATGTATATCAATAACGACCAAGAAAGCTTGTCAATTGTCATTTCTTTCTACTTAGCTGTTGTATATTTTGGAATCAGAGTTGAAAGTTCAAATTGCCTAGATCTTTAGTTCGAATAACCCCTTCTATCTTCAAGAATTGTTAGATTTTTTAATTAGTGGTGATTCATTGACTTGATTTTAAATACTGCTTTGGTAGCGTTTCCTCTATTCCAACTGATCTTAAACAGTTGATTTCTTCTATATTATCATCTTTAAATGTATGGCATTTGTTATCTCTACTAATGCAGGTCTTGTATGTATTAGGTATATGGTTTTGTTGACCTCTGGCACCCGTGAGACTGATAATGGCACTTATTGAAGAATGGTCTAATTTTCATCCAAAGCTTGGCAGACCACTGCTAAGTGACAAGCGAGGATATGGCATTTTTTAGTGAACAAAGGTACAAGAAAGAACGCTACCTGCCATAACAAAGTCATTTTGTGTTACTCCGTAAGGGGAGCTAATTGCTATCTTCTGAGGACGAATCGCTGCACATTTTGCGTTACAGAGTGTATAAATACGAGAGGAATGTAGGAGAAGCTGCATATAAGTTTTGAATTGTCGTTTTTGATTCGGGATAAGTACATGTTTGAGCTATACCAGAACATATGGGACAACCCAGTTTTCCAGGTACAGAATGCTTTGACAGTTAATGTGATACCAATTTCTCCCATATTTTGTTCCTAGTTCAGCGGGAGGGGTTTTGGTCAAGCGAAACCCAGTTTTCCCTCCTGCTGATGTTCTTTGTCTACTGTGCCTGGATGTTGCAATCAGGATGAAGCCAATTTGTATTTGGCCCTCCTCTAACTACTTCTAGCCTTTATACAAGCATTTGGCTCTCCTCTAACTCCTGCCAAAACTGACTATTTCCTATACAGTATAAATGTATTTCTTCTTTAATTACCCTCTCAAGCTCCTGACAACTACGTGGGGAGGCTCCAAACACTCTTGCCCATCTTTCTTTCCAGATCCAGCTGACAATCCAGCACCAAATTTCTCCAAAGATTCGTCTTTGAACTGAAGTCTGGTTCGCCAGGAGACATGTTGCATCCAAGTAATCTTGCCAGGAAATCATCATGACCTGCATCACCTTCTGCACAAAAGGTGTCAGCACTGCAGAGGAGTAGATACAACTGAAAAACAGATTATCCATTGTCTCATTCTGCTGATTACATAACACAGAGACAGAGAACTGTCAATTTCCCCCCACTCAAACAGCTTATCTCTAGTGTAAATACGATATAGAATAACAAGCCAAGTCAAAATTCGATGCTTTGGAATGCTATGCTTGCCCCATAGCAGCTTAAACCAAGGAACATACCCTGATTTCTCACGAATTGAACCTTAATTGAGAGCTTTGATATCAACTTTCCTTAGGAAGGTAGGTTAGGTTGGGTGTATAATCAGATCTAAACACTGAGGTCAAAAGACTTTTCCCACCTTTTTTCTCTTTTTTTATTAAATTGATTTTTATTATTTGTTTTTATTTTGAAATTTGAAATTTTTTACACAGAGTCCATTGTGATCCATAAAATTATATCAAATTTTTTTATATATTTCAAGGAAAAATAATTCGTATCATTCATTACCACTCGTTGCACAGTCCAGTTCGTACCGAACTCATGAGAACTGTGATTCAATAGTAAAAGAAATCTTATAACCAAGAACCGGACCATTGATGCATTTGGTTTGATTTGGTTCGGTCCAAATGTCAATTTAGTCCATCTTTCTTAAGTATTATAAAATTTATGGGATCAAAGACCGTACCACATTATATTTGATTCGCTATTGTCCAGTCCAATCATCGATTTGGTTCCGGTGTGATCCGTTACGAACCAAACCGTTGCAAATTCCTACCTGGTGGCAATGAGTGGTAATGGATGCCTCATATAATCTGTTAGAGAAACCAAAAATTGACCTAGTGCTAACTTCAAATTGAGCATTCTTAGCATTACTCAAGGGCCCAAGACATTAAAGAAAACCAAATCAGTAATTTGTGCATTGTAGAATCTACACTTGACCCGTTAGATGGCCCGTCAATAACTTCACTATTCGTATTTTCATGTGAAAGTAGAGGCAGACAAAACATTGGACGATGATGAGTAAACTGATCTCAAATGCTCAATACGACACGGGAACTGACTTTGAAGACCTGATGTTAAAGATTACCAATTTTCTTGACCCTCTATTTCTCATCAGACTATAAAACCACAAAGCGGGAAATCACATATTTCGAAGATTGAAGGGGTGTGTGGCATGCAAGCATTCCCTAATAATTATAAGAAAATATCAAATAAATGTGACTTTCATTGATACTAATTAATACCACTAGGGTCTATAGGTGGTTCTGGACAATGCTTCCTATCATGCCTAAGTTGCCTACATAATTTGCAATGCTTCTAAACACTTCTTGCTCGTCCTGAACGATCCATCTCGTTGGGAATCTTGTTTGTCCTAGGATAACCCTTGGTGTGGTTAAAATGCAATGGTGGGATAATCAACTTCTCATTAGGTAATAGTCAATAAGCTTCATTGGCAATGTCACAAAACTGCAAACATACGAGTTGATGGTCGCCTGGTTGGTGAAGTAATGACTCACAAAGTTGTGAGGATTAAGGAATTGTGATTTAGCTGCAATGGGAACAAGGCACTCTTTTAGTCTGAAACTTCTTTACCATGGAGGGTTGTCGTTTGACGATTGCCTCCATGTCTGCCTCCACCCCATAAACATGTGTCTATTGCAAATAGACCTTCAACCTGGTTGAAAAGGGTCACTCTATGCTTATCAGCACGCTCTTCGTCTTCGTACTTTTTCATATCTTTCAATATACTAAGGTATATCGCTTCTCCGGCCTGCTCCCTCAAATGGCCTCTTGACGTCTTTTAACATACCACACGTTGGCCTTTCAGTATGTCATCTCCACTATGGTGTAAATATGCATTGCTCGAAGGCCCTTGTACACTCCATTTATACTTTCACCATGATTAGTAATGACAATGCGCCGATGCCGAACCTAGCCCCATCATCCATGTGGAATATATAGGGGTGAACAAATAACCCGTGATCCATCCCATCGACCGAACCCAACCCAAGAATGGTAGTTTTACAGATTTTTGGGTGGTTATGGATTAAATAAAAAGGAAAAAAAATGTATTTCATGGGTGGGTGTGGGTGGAAGATATTCTAATGGCTAAAACCCAAACCGAACCCGTGCATCCAGTTATATTCAAGATCGAAAAAGGAAAAGCAATATAGGGGGAGAGAGATTTTATCACTTCCAAGAAAATAATTAATACAAAAATAAAAACATATATAGCAAACTAGTTCTCGATCTATTTTCTATATCGCATGTTTCTATCCTCATCTTTCTTGTGGCCTCTCCCCTCACTATCACTGAACCAACGACTATAAGCTACTTCTCATCCATCCCTTGCAAGGTTCCAATATCCAATAATGGATCCTAATCGATGAGCATTAACTCATAAATCCCTATCATCTCTCTCTAAATTTATTGTCTCTCCCTGCCTCCAATCCTAGCAAGTTCAGATATGATAAGAGTCGTTGCCTGTGTTTAGTAGTTTTCACTGTGAGTTGGTGTTGCTTGGTATTGGTGATTCGTACCGTGAGTTGAAAGGCTTTCTTTATGGGTTTTCTTGTTGTGGTGATACTGCTTCCTTTTGTTGGTTTTTGCTGTCTATTGGAAGGATTTTTCGGGATTTATTTTGGTCGAGTCTTGCTGCAAAATCGGTGTTATAGGATGAAGCTTGTTTTGCGTATGGTGCCCTTCAAGCATCCTTTGTTGACAATAAAATATTATTTTGCATATGGATTGGGTTTTTACGGGTATTGTCTGTCCACCCAATCCAACCCAATGGGTGTTAAACCGACATGGTTTTGCTTTTTATGAGTGAGCTCAGGTTTAAAATCATTGAAATCAATATGAACGGGGTGGGTGAAAAAATCGGACAAACCTGATCCACCCGATCCATGTACACCCCTAGAAATATCTACATGTGTACATCCTGCTGCTCCACCCATGTTGTCCCCCGCCCGATGGATCTGATAGATAACCTTCATCTTCTCCTCGTATTTTTTGGGTTGGTGAGCAACCCTTCAATATAAAAAAATTAATCAGTTGGTAATTCTTTCTAGGAATATAGTACAAAGAAATATACTTGCATGCCAAATAATTCTTGATGAACTTCCTGCCAAATTTGTGTTGGCGATTGCTAAGAAAGTGGCAAATGATCCAATGCCACGCCCACCCCCATTCGTCGAGAACATCATACACGATGTATCTAATCCTGTGGTGCCGGTTGCAGATGATGGTTATGCCCTGTCAGTCTGTCACTGTGCGACGTGGTCATGTAGCTGCTCTAAAAATCAGGCCCAACATGAATTGTTCTCCCTTTCGACTAAAGCAAATGCCAATGAAAAAATCTGCATCCCATCAACGCCTATGGAAATAAGAAGAGTGCTCTTGTACTTTCTAGAAAAAAATGTGTCATCTACTTGGATCACTGGGAGGCAGAAAGATAACCCGAAAAATTCATGGCTTGAATGACCAATATAAGTGGTTAAACATCATCTCATTTTGGACCCGAACTTGGTATTTAGTTTTTACATTGTTGTGTCACGACACGAAAAATAGTCCCTGGGTTAGACTCCCCCATTGTGACTATCCGTCTAGGGAGGAGAGCGTAGTAGTTGTCCCAATCACCATACACGTCAACCATGGCTTTTTGCTTTCCATGCCATGCCTTCTTGTACTTGATTGTGTACGAATGATGATCTTTTACCTCAGTCATGATAGTTTTGATTGTGATGTCTGGTTGCGCCTCGATTAAATGTTTAATAGTGGCACTCACTTTCGTTGCATTAAGTTAGGGTATGGACGAGGAGTAGTTGTGGTTGTTCTCCACCGTGTGAATTGTCCAAACACCCTTTTTCTTCATCCATGCAGCTCGTGGCTCCAACTGACATCCTCCAACATTCTTGCATATGCCATGGAGTTATTTTGGGTCATAATATTTGACCTTCCACTCAAACTTTCACCGCATGGCTTCTTCTCTAAAAGTATCTCAAATATTCTTCACTATTCATGTTGCTTTCGTATGGATAACTGGACATCTTGATAGTGGGATCATCGTGACCATCACCACTAACATCGTCATCTCAATTTTCTGGAGATCGTCTAGATGCTCGAATAATATTTTCAATATCAGTCCACTTTAGACCCCAAATCGCTCATCAGACACCATTCGACTCAACAAATGGGTTGGGCTCAACAAAATTGACACGATGAGGTTATTCTTCCCATGGTACCCCATCTCCCACATCGCTGCCTACATAACTACCTCTTTCATAGTTGCTTGAATAACCACCCCATTTGCATCCTTCTGCAACACCATCACCGTAAGAATGATGGTGGGAAGAGATTTCACTGCCATCACAACCAGAACTGGTTCCACCTTGACCTACATCCTCGGTCTCAACATACACCTCTGCAAGCCTGATTTTGTTTTCAGCTAGGAAGTGCAACATCATGTTAACACCATCATTATAAGATATGACAACTTATTCATACATGACACCGCCTCCACTGATGTTAAGATATCAGTAAGTTAATTTACAAACTGTTATCTGTCACCCATACAAATTGGCTCTACACAAATGCCATAAAGTTCTTTCCACGTGAATCTGGTCTCAAACTTTAACCTACTAGATTCAACATCTTCATAATCGATCCCAATGTGTGAGTTTGACACACAATCATTCCACCGAATAAGAAGTTGGAGCTTTCAAAATCTACCCATTTCTGCAATTTAAAACAACTAAAGATCAAATACAACATCGAAAACAACAATCAATCATATAATCAGCTTTAATCCAAATATTTAGCATAATTCACACTAGCTGTAATTAGTGAAACACTAATACATAACTACTTAAGCATGAGCATACTAAACAAATAAGACATATCTTATAGTTAGAATGACTGAATGGACTTCTGGTGCTTCGTGGGAGTTTCTGCAAGTGTGGTGGAGAAGAGGGCAAATAAGAGTGAGGAGAAAGGATGGGAGGATTGTTTTATACCACTAAGATTTTGTATTGATCGCTTTAGGGCAAAGCAATTCACACCAATAACGCTTTTGACAAATAGATCAATGCCTAAACTGCTGCAGCTAACCCTATCCTCGTGGTTAAATATGATCAATAATGTCAAAAGCGATTAAGCTTGATTGCTTGGTACAAAAGTGATCGTGGTGTTGACCAGTTCACCCATCCAAAGCCACCGTATCTAACCTATCCTCGTGGTGAAATAAAATCTCTAAAAAAAAGTGATGTGCTTTGATCATTTTCTTCTCATGCGATTAATGTGCAAATCATTGTAATAGCAAACGATTTATCTTTTATCGCTTTACAGATGCACGATTAACTATTGATCACTGGTGGTAAAATTGATTTATGGACTCGAAGTCCGAAGTCATTCATCAACGCCATAAGACTCAACAAGTGGGGTGGGCTCAACATAACTAATACGATGAGGATTCCCATGGTACCCCATCCCGACATAGTCATCTACATAACTACCTCTTTTATAGTTGATTGAATAACTGTCCCATTTGTATCCTCCTGCAACACCATCACCATAAGAATTGTGTTGTGAAGAGATTTCATTGCCATCATACCCATAACTGGTTCCACCCTGACCGACATCCTCAGTCTCAACGTACATCTCTCCGAGCCTGATTTTGTTTTCAGCTAGGAAGTACATCATCATGTTGACACCATCATTGTCAGATATGACAACTTCTTCTTACATGACACTGCATCCACTAATGTTTGGATATCAGTAAATTATTTTACAAATTCTTGTCTCCCTCATACAAATTCGGTCTGTACAAATGTCATAAAGTCCTTGCCAAGTGAATATGGTCTGAAGCTTCAATCTACTAGATTTACCATCTTCATAATTGATCCCAACGTGAGATCTTATCACCCGACCATTCCACAGAATAAGAAGGTGGAACTTTCAAAATCTACCCATATATGCAATTTAAAATAACTAACAATCACATACAATATCCAAAATAATAATCCATCATATAATCAGCTTTAATCCACATATTTACCATAATTTTTACTAACCGTAATTAGTGAAACACCATTACATAACTACTTAAGCATGAACATACTAAAAAAATAAGACATATTTTATAGTTAGAATGAGGGAATGGAATTTCGGTGCTCTGTGGGAGTTTCTGCAAGTGTGGTGGAGAAGAGGGGAAATAAGAGTGAGAGGATAGGATGGGAGGACCGTCATTTTATACCACTAAGATTTGGTATTGATCGCTTTAGGGCAAAGCGATTTACAACAAGATCGCTTTTGACAAAACGATCAATGCCCAAACTTTTGCAGCTAACTCTTTCCTCGTGGTGAAATATGATCAATAATGTCAAAAGCGATTAAGTTTGATCGCTTGGTAGAAAAGCGATCATGGTGTTGACCAGTCCACCCACCCAAGCCATTGCACCTAACCTATCCTCGTGGTGAAATAAAATCGCTCAAAAGAACAGTGATGTGATTTGATCACTTCCTTCTCATGCTACTAATGTGCAAATCGTTGCCTCAACATGCCATTTATTTTTTTATCACTTTATAGATGCCCGATTTACTATTGATCGCTGGTGGTAAAATTGATTTATAGTTGATCGCGTTCCTCTCCAACGGTTTTATAGTAGATCGCTTATGAGTTAAGTGGCCATGTGAATAATGTGTAGATTGGAAAATTTAATAAGAACTATTGCATTTTGAGAAATTTTTTAAGAAATAGTGTACTTATCAAAAAATCTTCATGGGAGTAATGAAACGTATGTAATATACATTAATAATAAGGTAAATACAATATATTAGCCAGAACTATTAAGCATCGAGGAATTATATCTACAGCTATCGAAATACAAATTATTAGCCATAATTATTGTTGCGGGTCTAGATATGGCTAACAGCTTGTTACCGTTATTAAAGTTTTAACGGAGACTGCCACATCAGCATTAATATTAGTGTCCACGTAAGAAAATATTAAAAATATATATTAAATAAATAATAATTTATTTTAATAATCATTATTATTATTAAAAAAAAGAAATAGAAAACCTCCTCCCACACGTCTTCTTCCTCCTCCCTCCCATCGTGCTTCTTCATCTGCTGCACCACTCCGCTACCACCGTAATCGCTTCGGTTGCCCACAATCGGAAGGAATCCCACAACGACGACGCAGCCCACGAAGAGACTTAGAAGATCCGCCGCATTCCGCCCCAACCACATTCTTCCTTGATGTCGGGGAACAACCATAATTGCGTCCCCCGCTGCGCCGCCGCCGTTGCTAATCCTCATCGAGAAATTGTTCATTTCGTTCTTAGGGAAATCATTTGTTTCCCTAGATGGCATCTTAAGGGCCTCTACACCAGCTTGACCCGCTCCCCATTCTCACGCTACCTTTTAGAAGCACCCACGTAAGGGAAGAAGCATTCGGTTGACTGCCTGTGTAGAAGCTTTCGACGACCATGAAGGGTAGCACCGCTTCGATTATAATCCCCTAAATTATAACTCGAAGGGAAGCACCGCTTATGCAGAAGCTTCCAACGACGATGAAGAGTAGCACCACTTCGATTAAAATCCCCTAAATTATAATTTTGAAGGGTAGCACCGCTTCCGACAACGACGAACGCTTCCGCCTTGGGTAGAGAGAAAAGGGAGAAGAAGAAGATAATATTGGGGTGACCGTTCTGTTTTTTGTTTTTTCTAATAATTTATTAATATATAAGTTACCAAGATTGACTGGCTGATGTGACATTTTTCGTTGACTGACACATCAGAATATCTCTTCCACATCAACCAAACATCAGCCTACTCACCATCATCTAACGAAAGTATTAACGGAGACTTAACAATTGACAATTATTTTGTATTTCACTAGTTGTGACTATAATTTCCCGTTGCTTAATAATTCGGGAAAAAATTGTATTTACCATTAATAATACATTGTTTTATTATAAACTATATTAACAATCAACGGAAGTCAAAATAGATCCCATCAACAAATATTTTTCCACTCTTAAGAAATAAGTAATTAATACATGAAAATAATCCTTATACCACTAGTGCTAATTTTTCATCTGTATTTGGTTGGGAAATGTAAGGATGGCAACGGGGCGGATTGGGGGCGGGTACATGCCTCCCGATCCCCGCTCATCAACCTCGACGGATTTCCCCATCCCGTCCCCGACGACTAAACGGGGGGAGATTGACTACCGTCCCCATACGCCGACGGATTCTGGTAACCAACGGATCCCCACGGATCACGGTCTAAACAAAAATAAAAACTTCCTGAATAATACCTTTGCATTAAAATAGTTACTTGATGGTCAAGCCACCGAAATAGAAAACAAAACAAAGAAAGATCTAGTGTTGTAACCCATATCCCACCAACCAGCACCCAGATCCTAAAATTCAAAATTCAAGTAACAGGCTGCAGCAATCAAACAAACTGATGCAACCTTAATCCCACCACCCAAAACCCATCTATCATGTTCATCATGCTAGTACTAGCGTTCAAACTTAAAAAGAACATAAAATGAAAAACAAAGGCATTCAGCCTAATCGTTCAGAAATGATGAAATGAAACGAGCAGCAGTGATGTAGCTTGTCCACGCTGGAGACCAACTTTCCTCGACCTCAACTTATTTGAACAACATTCCTCCTTTGTCACAAGTTCCATTTGTTCTGTAAGAAAGAAAACAAGAGTGTTAGAGAATTGAAACTATCAGTAAAACTCATCAATCGTAAGTATTGTGCTATTGATCACTAGTATTTTACATTTGTACTGGTTTTTCTCAAACTATCAATCATCTAGGGATAGTGGACGGTTCATATTGCCAAGTTCCTCTTGTTCTGCAAGTAAGGAAACAAAGATGTTAAGAGAACTGAACTAAGATTAACAAGGAAACGAATTGAAGAACCAACTAACTTACCCTCTGTTTGATCTTCAACACTTGTATCTGCAAGTGCTAGAGCTGAAAACAATCCTTCCATTGCCTCAACATCAGCCTTTGACTCTGCAAAAAATAAAACAAAGGAAAATAGTTAGAACAATGAACATTCTAATAAACCAGAAAGTTCAGTTGTTGCAGATTACCTTGTTGCATTGAATCAATTATCCAATTACGAGTACACATCATTGCCTCCACTATATTGTAGTGAAGCCTACTGCGGTGAGGGTCTAATAACCTCCCACCAGAGCTGAAAGCAAATTCAGAAGCCACTGATGTGACTGGAATGGCCAGGAAATCCCTTGCAATTGCTTGCAAAGTGGGGGTACTTAAGGGCATTAAGTTTCCACCACATCAATATATCAAAGTCCTTAGATCGTTTAGGAATAAGATCCTCAAGAAGATAGTGATCGAGCTTAGCATGAATCAGAGTCGTTTTGCTCTTTTTCCTCTGACTCACAAAGAGCTCGAAATCAATATCATCACTTACAGAACTAGAAGAACCACTAGAAGCACATGAAGAACCAGAATTCTTCTCAGCCTTGGTTTGGTAGTCAAGAACCAAACCACAAATACATTCCCTTATCTTATCAGCCACCAATGCAGTATTAGTGCTGCCAAACTTGCCAGCATAATACTCAACTACATGCATCTTGTATCTAGGATCAAGAACTACTGAAACTGCCAGAACCACATGTACCTCATCCCAGTACTTGGCAAATTTCTCCCACATGCTTTCAGCCATACTAGAGACAAGAGTATTGGAGTCAGCACACCATTCCAGCAATTTCAATCTTAAATCACAAATCTTGGGGAAAAACAGATGGGCAGTGGGATACTTGCTACCAAAAAATAGCCGAGTAATCTCACTGAAGATTTCAAGCTTCTCAATGATAATGGCAGCAAACTGCCAATGCATGCTAGTAGGGACAATATTGTATTGACTATCCCTCTGTCTCAATCGAGAGAACACATCTCTGTATATAATAGCAACAGACAGCATATCATAGGTGGAATTCCACCTTGTAGGACAATCAAACACAAGTTTCTTTGTACAAGTCACCTTAATCTGTTTAGCAGTTTCAAAGAAGGTCTGAATCCTCTTAGGTGTAGAGTTCCAGTACACAACCCTCTCCCTAACCAAATCAATGACATCCCTGATGACATCCAAACCGTCTTGCACAATAAGATTAAGTACATGAGCAAAACATCTCATGTGAACCAGCATACCATCCAACAACAAATCATCCATAACAAGTTTGGTTTTCAGATGGGTTATCATAACATCGTTGGTGGTACAGTTATCCAAGGTAATAGATGACAACTTGCTATCAATATTCCAATCAATAAGACACTTGAACAACTTGTTTCCCAGCCTCTCACTAGTGTGAGGAGCAGGGACATAAACAAAACGTAACATCAAGTTTCTTAGCTTCCAAGAATTGTCAATAAAATGACAAGTTACTGCCATATAACCCCTCTTCTGGTTGGGTGCAGTCCACTTATCAGTGGTCACTGCAACTCTCCCAATATTACCATCAAGAACCTTCTTAAACTTTGCCATTTCAACCCCATATAACCCCATTATGTCATTCTTCACTATACCCCTACAAGGCACAATGAACTATGGTTGCAAAGAACAACAAAAATGTCTGAACCCCAAGTGTTCAACAATACTTGGAGGATATTCATGGACCATAATCATTGAGCACAATTCCTTCCTAGACACATCAGAACTGAACTGAGAAGCAGATAGCAGTGGTTTTCCAGTTGGTTTATAATCAGGACCCAGAACTCTCTGTCTACCATCATGTATCTTTCTTTGGGTACAAGCTTTATAATGGTGCCTCAGATGGGAGGTTCCATTACTAATATCACCACCAAGTCGTTTTTTACAGTAACGACACTTAGCCTTAACAACACCATTAAACTTCACTCTAACAAAATAAGGCCAAACATCAGAAGTCAACTTCTTATCTTCCTCAAGAATGACTTCACCAGTTTCAATCCCATCAACCAAAACATCATTACCATTACCGTTAACATTACCATTAACATCAGGATTTAGAGAACTAGGCAAAGGAGGATCATTCACATTCAAAGCATCATTTGCAATTGCACCATCCATCTACGTAAACAAAAAATACAATCAATCAATCTTCAAGACTCAGACAGAGCACACAAGAAATCAACACATGCAAGCTACACATACAAATTAGAAAACAGGGCAGATTTAGAGTCAAGCTATGCCTAACCTGTAATCTGGAGAGGTAGGATTTGTTGACCAGACTGCAGATGGGGAGTTGATGCCTGATGCGAACCTGATGAACTCGAACAAGGCAAAAATAAAAACAACTTTGTGTTAGCATTCATCGAATGATAAAGACCGAGTTAATAAACTAGGAAAATTGAAGTTTTAAAAGTGATTACCTCGACTGTGCTCTGAGCAGAGTGAAGGTAATGATGAACGGAAGAACTTAGAACTGAGGTTGCGGGTGACCCTGAAATCAATCGACAGGGTTACTATATATATGAACGCAAAAGAAGATAGAATAGATAGGAAAACGAAAGGAAAAGGGAGAAGGAACTTATCTGTCATCTGTGATGATATCACACCGATTTCTCCCAATAATTGCGAATCGAAGATTGCAACAGCCATTTTAGGGTTTTGCATGTTGTTTCCCGGCCAAATCGGCGGCAAAACAAGCCTCCGATTGACCAAATTGGAGGATTAATGATTCCCTACTAGCGATAAACCAGTTGATGGAGAGGATTTCGTGGGGAATCGGCGAAATTTTTGAGCTAAATCAATGCTCGCGTGCTTGGGTGGAGAGAAAATAGAGAGGAAGATGAAAGGAAACGACGACAGTCGACAGGAAGAAAGAAGAGGAAATGAGGGATTAAGGTTTGTGGGTCTTTCTTCGGCTTTTATATCCAGGTGTCAAAACGACGTCGTTTTGTGGACGGACGGGGACGGGGTAGATACTTCTCGATCCATCCCATCCGTAACCCGCTTCTAACGGGTTTCGGGTATGCCCGAATCCGACAATTACCCACTGCGGCCGGTTACTGAGACCCCGTTGGGTCGGGTTTCGCGCGGATACCCGACGGGGCGGCTAGGGTTGCCATCCCTAGGGAAATGATGATATTTTAGAAAGTGAATGAGGGAGCACAAGATCCAAAAAGGACGGAAAGATATTAAGGTGAGGAGATCCACGTGTCGGAAGGACACGGCCTCACTCCGTTTTCCCCTCCCTCCCATACCGCATCACCGGTCTCACGTGGTGGCCTCGTCTTTGGCTCTTTCCCTCCCTCCCCCTTTTCTGGACCGTTAAAACCGCTGAATCAGTTTGCTCGCTCGCTCGCTCACTACGCAACACACAGCCTGTAATCAGTAATCAAGGATCGCCATTTCTCCCTTCGAGTCGAGTGGAGTCGCATCAATCACTGCGAAAGAAAGATGGACAGATTGTGATGCTTCAACCACTCCCGCTTCTCTCTTCCTTCACTCCTGAAATGCCTATTCTCACTCTGCCTTTCTCCACCGCCGTTGCCGCCGGCGGAACTCTGCGCCTCGCCGCTGATACTGGGTAATGATTAGTAGGCATTTTCCGAACTCTCAGAGAAAGTCTTATTTACCTTACATTGACGACTCGATTTTGTGTGGTTCTCTTAGATTGAGTTTCATCAAACACCCGTCCTACTGCACCAGCGCCAATCCCGCCGGTGGAGCTCTCAATCAGGCATGTCCGATTTCTGAATTCGATGTAATATATTGATAATACCTAAAGGAAATTGTTAATCCTTTTTTCTCTCGCTCTTGTTTACTCCCTCTGGGTTTTGTGTTTCAATAGGCGAGGGGCTGGTTAAAGCTTTCAATTCCCTGTGTTTCGAGCCCTAGTGCTAACCAGCGTGTTCTTGAGGTACTTTCTTTCCTTGTCACCGCTCCTTCTTCATTTCTTTTCTTTGTAGTCTTGATTTTGCCATCATTTTTGTGGTTACTATTGTGTATGCTCAAGCTGATGTTTCGATTGTGTGTGTGGCATTTGTAGGAGCAAGTCGAGAAGATGTCGGACACTACTCCATCTTACAAGATTTTCCCCGGCCAGCCATTTCCAATGGGCGTCTCCGAAGTTGACAATGGGATCAATTTCGCCGTCTTTTCGCAGAACGCCACTGCTGTCACCCTTTGCTTGTCTCTTCCTCACAGGTGGGACTCTCCCCTAATTAGTGAAGTCTGGGAAGTTATTTAGGATCCATATAATGTGGAAGGTATGGTATGTGTCGTCTGTATTTTGATGAGATTATCTACTTGCCTGTTTAACACGGCCTTGCTTTTTGATTGTTTCGGTTTATGATCAAGAGATTCATTGTGGTAACTCCCAGTAGGGTACACTAGAGAAGCTGAGTTCTTTTTCCGCTAAAATGTGTTTAAGTCCATCTCATGCTCTAGCCTTTGGTGCGCAGTAGCTTTTGTATGTTTCTGTACAGTCATACAAACTAGGTGATTCATTTAATGTATTATGGCTGATGTCTTATTGACAAATGTTTTATCTTTTCCTGTTATTTTCTCATCAGCGAGAGTCATGAAAACGAAGAAAGCCGTACAATTCAAATGCATCTGGATCCTCGTCTAAATAAAACAGGAGACATTTGGCACATATGTATCGAGGTAAAATTACTTTGATGATTTCCAGTGCACATTTGTATCTATTTTCAACTCAATTTTAGATTTCAATTGATCTCCCATCTTTGAAAGATGTTGACTTGCTTAGCCTACTTCTTCCGATGTCTGCAAGTGATGATGATTTAGAACAGGATGGTGAAAATAGATTTTTAGTATGATGTCTCTGTGCAAATCTGTCTGCATGCTTTAGTTTTTGGTTCAACTCATTATTTCTTGGCTGATGTTTGAGTCTTTCATACAACTACTGTTATTCCAGGGTTTACCACGGAGCAATGTGTGCTATGGTTACCTAGTAGATGGGCCCCGAGATTGGTATGAAGGCCATCGATTTGACAACGCAAAAGTCCTCATCGATCCGTATGCTAAGCTTGTGGAAGGTCGTCGATATTTTGGAGATGTTAGCCAGAAATTGTCGAATTTCTGGGGAACATATGATTTTGATACATTGCCATTTGACTGGGGGAGCAATTATAAGTCTCCCAATATACCAGAGGTACAAATTTTCCTTTCTTGTAAATGTTCGTTGTGTGAATTCCGATTCCTCAGCCTGCTTCTCTGCTCTTTATATTTGAATGTATAATTTGATACTAATATTATTGTTTGATGTTTTCCCCCAGTTACAACTTTTAGATGAACTGTATTGTATCACAGTTTTCTCCATCTATTTTCTGCTTTTTTTTTTTTTGCAGAAAGATCTTGTTATATATGAAATGAATGTTCGTGCATTTACAGTTGATGAATCTAGTGGCCTGGATACAAACAGACGGGGAAGCTACCTTGGTTTAATTGAGAAGGTACTAGTCTTATATCTTAATATATATTCAACTAAAGGCATGTTTGTTTGTTTGAGGCCAATAACATAAGTTGAGTGAGGCAAATGAGCATTATGCTATGCCTGTGGTTGTGTAACTACTTACCAGTTGATTTTCTCAAATCTCTAGATTCCTTACCTTCTTGAGCTTGGAGTAAATGCTGTGGAGCTGCTTCCTGTGTTTGAATTTGACGAGTTTGAGTTCCAGAGACGCCCAAATCCAAGAGACCACATGGTAAACCAAAATGATCTAGCGGGATACGTATAGATGTACACAATTGCCATTAATTTCTTTATGTAATTATTGTGCATAGTCTGCAAGCAATTTTATCTCCTTTATCTCCTCGGTCATCTACATCTCTTTTTGCTCTGGTAATTTCAATGGGCTTCTGAAATTTTACGACAGCCATAAATTATCTACATCACTCATGTGTAGGAAAATGACGTCACACTGGGTCAAATATTAAGGAGGAATGCATTTAGAATCATTATGTAGTTCCAGAGACACCCAAACCACATAGATGCACGGTCAACTAAAACAGTTTAGTGGGATAAGTATATATGTACTTAAGCATCTTTAGTTACTTCGTGTATTGTGCGATGCTGAAGGTACATGTATCACTTTTGTCTAATCTGTCATCTACTTTTCGTTTTGATTGAGCGCAGAAAAATGTGTTAGTAAAGTTTTACTCTACCCATGAAGTATCTGAATAACTTTCCTTGCGTATGTAGATATGTGTTTGCTTTGAGTAAATAATAAAAACTCTTACATTTATAAATTAGAACAACTACTTAGGTTTTGAATGCATCTCCATGGCTATGTTTCAGAAACTATACCAGTCCTAGCATTTCTGTATGTTCTGTCACATATACTTGATACAATTATTCCACTGGAAACTAGTTTCCGAGTCTACCTTCTTCACTGTTATAATCACAGATGCACACTTGAGATGGTTAGATGAACTGGTCTGCCTTTTCCCAAAAAAAAAATGTATTTCTCTTTGGTTGGAAGTTTCACTCAAAGCAAGGACACATGTGCTGGCTAGTGGCCAGTGGATGCTCTGCGCTGTTATGGTATAGACTCTGAGTTGAATTAATTATTTTTTTTGTACTTTCTGTATAGGTTAATACATGGGGTTACTCGACAATCAATTTCTTTGCTCCTATGAGTCGCTATGCTAGTGGAGGTGGAGGACCATGTAGTGCATCTCGGGAGTTCAAGGAAATGGTTAAGGCATTGCATGGTGCTGGTATTGAGGTAGCTCTTTTTTTTCTGTCAGTTAACAGTTTCCAAAGCTGAATTTTTTTGTAATTATGGTGCAACAAGCCATGTTTCACATGGATCTTTTACATGTTCCTGTGAGTCCTTGAATAGTGTTCATCCAGCATAACATTAGTGTTTGTGCAGGTCATTTTGGATGTTGTGTATAACCATACAAATGAGGCTGATGACGCACATCCTTATACCACGTCATTTCGTGGCATAGACAATAAGGTGACCTTCTCCCTGACCACTAGTAAATTTCATTTTGGGTATTCTTCCCATGATTTATTGCGTGAGTTGCTTTATTAAATGATCGCAAAGTTGGGTCTAATGAAGATAGTTTCTCAGAGTACCTCCCATTTAGTTAATTTACCAGAAATTAGTTCAGCGAAAACTTACTTTCCTGTGAAGGATGCTGCAGGGCTGCCATTTTGGTTTCTGTTTAGAAATGGTTGTTTGGGTATTAATGTTGTAACCTCTCCACACAAACCGGTATCAATAACTTGATTTTCTGAACTTGGTAACTCTGCTAACTTGATTTTTGCTTGTTTCTCATTCTATTTTTACTAAATATCTACCTACAGGTATATTACATGATGGACCTGAATAACAAAGGCCAATTGCTGAACTTCTCTGGATGTGGTACTTGAAAGTTCTGCATCAATTGTTTTGTTATCTTTTCATCGTGTTCAACATTCTTTTATAGTATCATCAAGACTTTCTGCCATCGGCGTCTTATCTTTGTGCTTGTTTATTATTGATAGATGCTCATTTTCTAAGATTCTGCTTGCTGTACGTTGTCCTCCAGGAAATACGTTGAACTGTAATCATCCTGTGGTCATGGAGCTCATCTTGGATAGCTTAAGACATTGGTATGTACCTAATATCCGGAAGTGCAGTTTATTGTTAACACATACATAATTAATTGGAAATGATGGGCTAAAAGATTCTGTCATCACTCATCAGTCATTAGAAAAGTCAATAATAAATCCAAGTCATAACTAAGGCATGCCATATTTTTGCTTGGTCAACTCCAAAAGCAGAAATTTTTAAAATGTCGTTTCTTCTCTCCCTGATTGCAGGGTATCTGAATACCATGTAGATGGATTCCGTTTCGATCTTGCTAGTGTACTTTGCCGAGGAACAGATGGTTCCCCCCTTAGTGCTCCTCCAGTTATTAGGGTGAGTAGTATGGTTGAGCTTGCATATATATGGATGATGCAGTAATGATAGATACTTATTGGTCCTTTGGATTAGGCATTGTGCTGAGATATTTTGGCATCACTATGGGGTGGTAGGCGTTTTGAAATGTCTATTCTTTTGCACATTTTCACTTTGCCCATCCAAACGACCCATTAAGTGTATTTATTTTATATGGTTTTTTTCTGTCTGAAGAGGATAGCTACTTAAGTTATGAATACAGAAGTGTGTTTTCCAGTTCCCATTAAAAATAAACAAATTCTACTGCTTTGCCAATGGTCTAAAGGGGGGAATCTTGTAATCTCTGTTATGGCCTCATGATAAGAATCACCTACAATTTATGTACACACTTTCTGATAGCCATTTCCCCTTCTGATATTAGATGATTCTATAATATTTTCCTGTTGCTTTCTGTAAAACAATTGTAGCTTCACGCATCTCATGTCTCTCAGATCTTTAGTCTGAGAAAACCATTCCTCTTGTCAAATGCTCTTTTGCCTTTGGTGGCTGTAATAATAAGAAATATTCTCTTGATGATCGCGAGGACAGTGATGTTGTAGAAACCATGTTAAAACAATTAGTTGCCAAATATCTGGTTGCATAACATGTAGTATGATTTAAGCGAATGTCCGTTATACTTGGTTGGGATTTCCCTGAGTTTACTGCACTATTTTCAGCCGTTTCCGTAGAACTAAAACTTGAGGTTACTGACTCTTCTGTTTAACAATATAGGCCATTGCCAAAGATGCTGTGCTATCGAGGTGCAAATTAATTTCTGAGCCTTGGGATTGTGGGGGTCTCTATCTGGTTGGAAAATTTCCAAACTGGGACAGGTAACCGAGTCACCCTTATCTTTATTTGAATGGCGATTTCTGGTTTCTAACATTGAGGTTGGTATATTATCAAGGTTTCAAGAAAGCACCAAGTGTAAGGTGGGCGTCATGCTAGAAAACTGCATTGTAGTGTCGCTGGCATCCTTTATATGTTGCATGATAGTTCATAATGTACCTGCCTGAGAACATCCCTCTCATATTATTCCCTTTATGCAGGTGGGCTGAATGGAATGGGAAGTATCGCGATGACTTGAGAAGTTTTATTAAGGTGATGCATGTTAGAAGTAGTGCCTTGATTGTTCAGCAAGTAAATCAAGATCCTAACAACAGAATGCTGGAATAGGAAAGTAATCATTTGAGATTGGAGAGGTAGCTGATTATTCTACATGACCTTAGTCTCTGCAAAACTACTACTCCTAAACTCAGTTTAATTGAGTTGATGAGAAAGGACCATGGAGTGCGAGACATCATTTGCACTATATTTCATATCAGATCCTTCTAACTCCTAAGAGATTCAGTTTTTCTTTCTTTCCATCGTCCTTCAATCATCCCATTCCTTATGTTTGAATGAAATTATCAGGAATAAGGGTATCCCACACAATTTTGCTTCCCATTAACTAAAGAAGTCTAGAACCAAAAACTTCATTTGAAGGGGGAGAAGTTGTTTCTGTTGTACCTGTGAAAGATATCTATTTCTAAATCTCCTTATAGATTGCACATATGACAGGGGGATGCTGGTATGAAAGGGAATTTCGCTACTCGAGTTGCTGGATCTGCTGACCTGTACAGAGTAAGCACCATCGTCATATGGCCAAAAGTTTTCACTTTTTCTTCTTGACCTTAAAAAGAAAAGCTTGTATACTAAGCAGACAACTTTGTACTCATCCTCCCAGGTCAACAATCGCAAACCTTATCACGGCGTGAACTTCATAATTGCGCATGACGGGTTCACACTGTATGATCTAGTTTCTTACAACTCCAAGGTATCTCTTTTACTATGGATGTCATAAGTTCCATTTACCACGGTCTTATAACATCAATGGACTTACATTAATGTTCATGTTGATAGCATAATGATGCTAATGGAGAAGGGGGCAACGATGGAAGCAATGACAACCTCAGTTGGAACTGTGGCTTTGAAGGTAAGTCCAAGAGATAAGAGATTCGTAACATACAACAACATCTTCCTCTTAAGTTATTTTGAAGGCTCGAGTGCGCAAATGTGGTTTCTTATTTGTGTGTACGAATCACTTCATCATATTAAATTCATGCTTAATTCTGTATTCATTTATTGGACAGGAGAAACTGATGATCCTGGTGTTAAAGCTTTACGTTCTCGGCAGATGAAGAACTTCCATCTCGCCTTAATGATATCACAGGTAAATTTTAGAAGGCTGTGTATACATCCAAACAGTTATGAATTGACTCGTTTTAAGAGCTTATCTTCCTTAGAGCTTCGTATTAGACTTGTACCCGCTTGAATGTCTCCACTCTTGTAAATTGATTCCTTTCGATTATACGGTTATGAATTCACATCATGTCAATGAGCTTGTTCCATACTGAAGTCCTACTTTATCAGGGGACGCCAATGATGCTAATGGGAGATGAGTATGCACATACTCGTTATGGGAACAACAACAGTTATGGACATGACACCTCTCTTAACAACTTCCAGTGGAGTCTGGTAAAGCTAATTAATAATCCCCCTTACAGTTCTCTTGCATTTCTTAGCTGTGCGGGTTTAAGTTAATTCCTTGTTGGGATATATATTCTGTTGAGACAAGATGGAAGCACGAAGGAGTGGTCACTTCAGGTTTTTCTCAGAGACGATAAAGTTCCGATTAACACATGAAATATTCCGGCAAGAGAATTTTCTGAGCAATGTAAGTCTAGTGTCAATGGCTACTTACTCAAGACACTGCATACCGAGTCCTTGGTTTTACAGGTGCAGTGTTTATCTGTTTTAACGCAGAGAGATATCACGTGGCATGAAGACAACTGGGGCAATCCTGACAGCAAGTTCCTTGCATTTACGTAAGAGTTGCTTGCACAAGACTTTCTATTAAAAACCTTTACAGTGAACTTGTTGGAATGTAATGGTGATGCGATTTCAGGCTTCATGATAAGAACGGTGGAGATATCTATCTGGCGTTCAATGCCCATCACTATTTTGTTAAGCTCTCAATACCATCCCCTCCAGCAAACAGGCGTTGGCACAGAGTGGTTAGCATTTCTTCCTACAGTCTCCCTGCCCTGATCTTACTGCCTTTCCTGTTACGATCGCCTCATTTTTTCGCTTTCTGTTCGTTTCAGGTGGACACAAATCTGCAGTCCCCAGATGACATTATGCCTGAAGGTGTAGCCGGTGTTGGAAGCACTTACAACGTAGCTCCATACGCATCGATCCTTCTTCAAGCGAAATGAGAACACGTCCGGACTTGACGATGCATACTTTGCCATTGCACCAGTCACCTGGAATACAAAAACCCAGTATATATGGAAGGCCATTGAGTACTCATGTATGCCATTATCGACCTTCGAGGTTGACGAATCCTTGGTAGATCGGCCGGCGGTTCTGGGGCTCCTACTCTGGCTATGGTAGATGGTGGATGCTGGACTGGGTGGTGCGTACGAATAAATAGCCTGTTAGTGTTACACCTGACAGGAAAAAAAGAAAAAAAAAAGACATCTTCTTGGGCTGTCCAATTACCATCATTTCAGAGTTCGGTAAAATAAAACACGTAGACAATAATAAGCTGTGGAAAAGTATGAAGAACGAATGATATCGTTAAAACAGGAAAAAAAGTAAATTAAGCGCAGAACCATCCTATAATGTTTTTATGTGAAATGGTTCAGGTTGTGGGGCTTTCAGCACAAGTTGAACCATCCTTTTGCGTTGTTGCTGATACTTCTGTGGACGCAGATAGGATGTACGCTTGACCGTAGACATTCACTGACCTGTCTGAGGATCAGGTTGGGTCAATTTGTTTACAGGGTCAATTTAAAGTCTGGTCATGTACGGATTGGGTCAAATCAACTTAGCGGAGGATCACTTTTTGATCCTGTGACCCATAACAACAATTAGCGATATGAAATTCCTCGTACTAACAAATTTGACTTGTTTGTAAAGTTTTAAAAATTAAGGTATTATAATGCAAGGTAATAAACATACCAAACTGTAATTTCAGCTCCAAAATGTTTGGATTTATTTGTAAGAAAATAAAGTTCAATATTAATTTTAAGAAAAATAAATTTTGGATTCTAAAATGTAATTTTCAAAAATTAGTGTGTTGAATTGAGACGACCCATTGATCCTGTCCGTCTTAAGTCGCCGAATTGAGGATAAGACTAGGTCGAGAAGGAAATTGGGACAAGACTGATCTATTATACAAATTAACCTTCAAAAGTAAGTTAGACAGGATCAGGAACTGAGTCACACCAAATTTCAGTACTATACACACAAACTTGAGAATTAGATCTAATAGTCGAGAGCTGGATAGGGACAGGTGGTTTCATTATGATATGTGATTAGGAAAGAATACATGTAACATCTGCATTTTACATGAAAAAAGAATAAAGGAACCCCTTTCTAAATCAATAAAGAGGAGAAATAATATGACTAGCAAACTCACATATTTGAGAAATAGAGGTTCCTACATTGTATGGGCTCGTCGTGAGAAAGGCCACCTGGACCCGCCGTCTCCATGAGTTGGGAGCAGATCCGGTGAGTAACCTTGTGGTGAGTAACCATGAGTAACTCGTCCACATCAGCATGATATCAGCATCCTCTCTTTTCTGGAAAGCTTTTAATTTCCCCTCTTTAATCTTTGACGGATGATTTCTCACTCATTTTAAGTCGAAATTTAATTTTTTTTTGTACAGTTAGATCATATTAATTGTGCTCTTCAAAATGATATCCACTTTAATATATTTTTCGAACAAAAAAAATTGAGCCATTTTTTACCAATCTATACCATATTGTATTGACTAGTATTGAAATAAAAGCATACCTATGGTTTGAAAAAAGTACCATGGTTGTATGAACAAACCAAGACTGTAGGATGGTTGAATACATGATAGTAGAAATATATTAATTGTCATTTACGACTTTTAACATTGTATACCACAAGATACCACCCCGTACCAGGGTGGTATTGTATGGTATTGTGTGGTATTTTTTGGTCCTGTAATTTGTTCACCCATAAATTTGTAGATCCAATAGATCATGATGAACTCGTCCCCTCTGTGCAAACGTTTTCAAAAACGAATTAAAAACGAAGAAGATACCATACAATACCACCCCGTACCAGGTTGGTATTGTATGGTATTGTGTGGTATTTTTTGGTCCTGTAATTTGTTCACCAAGAAATTTGTAGATCCAATATATCATGATGAACTCGTCCCTTCAGTGCAAACGTTTTCAAAAACGAATTAAAATGAAGAAAATACCATATGGTATGCAGTTAGTACCGAGAGGCTAGAATTTTTTGTTCTAAAAAAATATTGAAAATTGATCTCATTTTGTAGAGCACGATGAACTCGTTCCACCTGTGCAAAAAAAAAATTAAAATCCGAGTTAAAACGAAAAAGATATGAGCCGATTAAGAAAGCTAGAGAAAATAAAAATGATCTTTAATTCTCCATCCTTAGATCTGTATTTTCTAAATGAAGAGTCCATATTTGATTATTGATGGGTTATGCATCCTATCTTGAGCCCATGAGCCGGAGTTGTCTCCTCCTTTCTAGGGTTACATATAAGCAAGCAGCAAGACACGAATAAAAATATGAGCAACTAAGCACCATCAAGGAAAGAAGAAAATAATCACGTGTAAAGAGGAGGACTAAAATGCAATAACAAAGAAGTTAGGAGAACACGGGATAAATTGCAAGGACTAATCCTTAATTGATCACAGGTATAAATAACTCGTGAGATACTGCGCAACCACTATGAAGTATGAACTAATAAAACAGAATTTTCCTCACACTTATTATCTCTTGCTCTTTTCTATTTCTCTCTTTATGTTGTTAAGCCTTCTAGCTCATTCATTTGCAACTTAATTGAAGATTCCCCATTGATTTGTCAAGACTACAACATGACCAGGCTGAGACGTGACAATTTGGTATCATAGCTCAATTTTGACCGAATGGTGATTACCAGGACAGAGGAGCGGCTCGTTTCATTCGCTAATCGGACCGCTAACGTCGAAACTCAGTTGTAAGTTACACAATGAGCATATAGTGTGATTGAAGAACATATGACTACTCAATTCGGCATTCATGCGACTCAATTTCAAGATTTGGCAACTTGAGTGGAAGGACACTCTCAACAATTTGCAACAATGAACGCGAGATTGGAGAATTCGGATAATCATTCGACGACTCAGTTTGTAGAAATCATGAGGCGGTTGGCTAAATTAGGTCAACAGAGGCCAACAATGATCGTTGACGGCGCGGGTCGAACTACTGGAGGGCCGGAATGATAATGGAGGCATTCTAGCACCACGGTAAAGAGAGCAGCATATCCAGCAGCCACCACCACATAGAGTACTAGTTCTCGTTTCATAAAAATGCATCATTTTACAATATTTGCCCCCTCCCCTATCATCTCAAAATGATGCAAAATAGGACAATTCAAATTGTCCCGTCCCAATTATCGTACTCTCATTTTTGTGTTGCCAAACAATATTATTTTATTTTATAACAATTGAACCAAATTGTGTCATCTTAATTCTATCATCCAAAGACCCTAGAACACTCTCATTTAACAACTAATCCCGCTTCCTAGTTTGCTAGTACCATGTGATTGTGATCTGACAATGGGGAGTACAAAACAATAATGAAATGTAAATAATTTCGTAATAATAATAACAAACAGTTATTGTTACTTAAAAACAAAATGATTATTAAATTTACTCCTCAAAATTTTCAACTCGCAACGTGCTAATCATAACGGTAACCAGAATTTTAGAATTAAAAAAAAAAAAAAAAAACGGTAACCAGAATTTTTGTTGATTGTTAATTCAATCCAGAGGAGAGGACGCAACAGCCAGCCTGACTGAAACAACCCTAACTCCTTTTTGCATCGATCAGAGACATCTTCTTTCCCTTTTCTTTTTCTTTCTTTTCCCCCCTTTTTCCCTTTTCTTTTTTTACCTCTTCTTCTTTCTTTTGGTGGGTTCGTATTAGGTAAGGGAATCCGTATACGCGTAGCGTGGAGGCGCTTCCAATCCACGCGTATCGGAAACCACATCTGACGGTTCTCCTTTCATTTTCACACCACCACGTGTAACGCCCTGATCTAATGCATCTCCCAACTCTCTCTCTCTTTCATTTTCCTCCTTTAAGACGAAAGTACGATTTCACCCCCGCATCCTATGCACTCATTCCTAATCGGCAGAAGGGACTAAAACGTAATTCACTCAACCGTCTTCCTAGGAAACCATCAACCGAGTCGGCCACACTGCTATATATAACTAACCCCTCCGTCCTTTGCCTTTCCTCTCACTTCCGCTGCGCATCCCAAATCATAATCTCATCTCAAACCTCTTCCAATCTTCTCCACATTATCCTCCTCTTCTCCAAATTCGAACCAAATCTACAGAAGCAGCAATGGCGGCCAGGAGCTTGATTACTTTGACGATTTTCGCACTCGTCGCCTGCTCAGCCATGGCGCAGGCTCCCGGCGCAGCTCCTACCGCTTCACCGAAGGCGGCCCCGGCAGCTCCCAAGACGGCTCCCGTATCTGCTCCAACTCAACCTCCGACCGTGGCGGCAGCTCCTACTACTACTACTGCCGTCCCCACCGCCGCTCCCACCATGTCCCCCACCATGTCTCCGCCAGCACCCGTGGCGCCTTCGTCCGGCGACGGCGTGTCGCTGCCTCCTGCCGCCTCGGGCCCGGGGTCTGCTTTGTCTCCTGCTGGTTCCAACCCCGGAACCAACGGCGCCAGTGTGAACGGAGTCGGCGCGGCCGTGGTTTTGGCTGGAGCTGCCTGCTTGTCGGCTCTGTGGATGTAGATCTGAGTTTATTTGGATGATGCGGTTAGGCGGTTAGGATTTTTTTCTTTTTTTTTCGTTGTGGAAAATATTTTGGTGGATTATAATGATTATGTTGACAGTGGTGGGAGTTTGTTTTGATTTCTTGTTGGGGTTTTTCTTTCTTTCTTTCCTTGTTCTGTTATTGTGAGAGGGAGATGGGTTTGGTTATTGTTGAGCAGGACTGTTTATTTATTTATGATTATTATATTACTATTGATATGATTTATCATTGATTACTGTTGTTGTGGCAATGATGATTGTTATTTTTGGAATTAATAAGCAGCCAAGTAATGTTGATTAATTGAAGGATTAACGTTAATGTTGCGATAAAGACAAATGTGTGGATCTGTAGCTGGGGAGGGAGAGGGAGAGAAATGCGTTTGGATCTGGGAAATGGGGAGGAGAGTTGTAGTTTAGCCGTTGTTGGGGGTGGAGAGGAAAAAGAGTGAGTTGGGGGTGGTGGGTTGCGTTGTCGTTTTATGAGTGCGGTTGTGGAGGATGACGAAAAAAGCAACGCAGGAAGGCAGTGGTGATACAGCTGGGAAGCAGTGGATATATGATATGAGATTGGTGGGTGTTTGTCTATTTGCTTTGGTATGGTCGTATTTGTGGATTGCCATGGAGTGGAGTTGTGAGGGACTAGAATGGCAATGATGTGGGTGGGGGTGTTCGGTGACGGTATCTCTATATTCATATTTGTCTTTTGGCAAGTCGGGTAGATCGAAGAGGTTCAGAATAACTCTTAAAAGTTTTTACCGTAGAACAAGTTTCGGAATTGAATAGATGATTAGTTAGTTTTTTTTTTATTACTCAAAAACTTTAGTCTCATGTGTCACTTTGTTGGTGATGGCAATGGGTCGGTGTGGGGCGAGTACTTCAATATCCTTGTCCCGCTCCATGCTACTACGGGCCGGACGATTAATACCCGAGCGGGTACGGGACGGGGCGTGGCGGGTCGACCTATTTTTATATGCTATTTGAAAAAAAAAATACAAGCTTAATTTTACTTTTTACAATAAAATAAAGGGGAAAAGACTTCATGAATGGATAATAGTGATAATATAATGAGTAATTGAGTTTATTTAGTTGAAAGTTCAATTCTAATTAGTTGAAGAAAAGCCAAAATAGGAGATATGTGAATGGATGGTGTAATAAATTGATCTAGAACGAGCCAAGAATGGGACACTACGGCAGGTCGAAAGTTGATATCCATGTCCGTCCCACTCTACTACGGATCGGATAATCCCGCCCCATTATAGATCAGATGGGGAAATACCCGACGACGGGCGGGTTCAAGTTATCTCTTACTGGAAATTACCATTACCATGCTATGGAAGGACGGTGGAGAAGCACGTGGTGTTGGGGGAGGTACAGCTGGTAAGGTGGGAGGGATGTGAGGAAAGAGAGACACCCATGTGAATACCTGGCAGAGGGCCAACACCCACACCCACACTAGACAAAACATACAATACAAATACAACTGCGCCCAACTGGAGGGGCAAAGCGGCAACACAAACAATGATGGATCTATATTAAAATAACCGTCTATGACCTATTTATACCATTATATAATTAGGGGTGAACGAATACACCTGCAAAGCCGACTCACCCGTTCAACTCTACCCAACAAGTCCGTATTTATCGCTATAAGCCTATAACTAAGGTTTTGGGTTGGGTGAGAATTTTCTTTTATACAACCCGCCTCTTTTGGGTTGGGTTTGGATTTTGGATTACACAACCCGTAGAACCCGACTAAACCCGTGTTCCAACTATTGATATGAGTTTGTATCCAAAAAATATTTATGTCGTATATAGTAATACTTTTGAGAAAATTAAGATATTTCGCTATGTTTTTCTCACATGGTCTCTCTAATCTAATGCATTCTTTGGGTTAAAGTTTAGATATAGATTTAATATAGCTATGATTCACGTAATCCTTTTTCTTATATACAATTTTAATAGAATAACATATTATGGGTGCGTTCGTTTATAACATTTTTAGCCTATTTCAACAAATGCCATGAAAAAATAGATATATGTTGAAGTAAATCACATTTTATTAAAATTTGAACAACATTTGTGAATTTTGATACATTTCACCTCCGTTTATTCGTTTGGAATTTTAATTAGTTATAAAATATTTTTATGGTGTAGACTAATTACATATTTTGTGTTGGTTGGGTTTTTACTTAAAAATATTGTCAACCCGACCCAACCCAATTAGAAATAAACCGTAGGGTTTTAATTTTTTTGAGTGGGTTTGGGTTTAATATTTCCCAAACCGTAGTGCATGGATCGGGTGATTAAAATGGCTAAACCCGGACCACCCAACTCATGGACATCCCTAATTATAACAATATCATCGGCACATGGGCTGCTCTCATCCAGCGGGTTTGCTTCATTTTTTGCCAACTCAAGCCACCCCATTCTAAGTTAAAAATTAGTACTTCCAGCCCCGATTAGTTACATCCGGGACGAGAGGAAATCCAGTCAATAACTTTATGGTCAATATCTATATATAACCCAATAAGAAATCGTCACATTAGCGCCCTTTATCTCTCCTGAAAAACTTTTAGTGTTTTCCCTTTAATTTTTAACGGACGATTTCTCATTCGTTTTAAGTCAAAATTTAATTATTATTATTTTTGCACAGTTAGATAAGATCAATTGTGCTTTTTAAAATGATATTCACTTTGATATATTTTTAGAACAAAAAAAAAATTGAGTCATTTTTTACCAGTCTATATCATATGGTATTCATTGGTATTGAAATAAGAGCATACCTATGATATGAAAAGCGTACCATTGTGGTATGAACAAACTAAGACTGTAGGATGGTTGAATACATGATAGTAGAAGTATATTTACTGTTATTTACAACTTTTAACATTGTGTACCACAAGATACCACCCCGTACCAGGGTGATATTGTGTGGTATTTTTTGGTCTTGTATTTTGTTCACCCATCCAATAGATCATGATGAACTCGTTTCTTCTCTGTAAAAATTTTAAAAAACGAATTAAAAACGATGAAGATACCATATGGTATGCAGCTGGTACCGAGAGGCACTCAAATTTTTTTCTCAAAAAATATTGAAAATGAGTCTCATTTTGTAGAGCACAACGAACTCGTTCCATCTATGCAAAAAAAAAAAAAATCCAAGTTAATACGAAGAAGATATGAGCCGATTAAGAAAACAAGGAAAAAATAAAAAGATTTTTAATTCTCCACCCTTAGATCTAAATTTTCTTAATGAAGGCTCCAGATTGAGTTACTGATAGGTGCATAATCCATGGTTATGCACTGTATTTTGAGCCGGACATAGAGGCATGCATCCTGGAAAAGTGCGGTTGCGACGCGCGAGCTCAACATGGCTCGCACATACTTCTTTTTTCCCTGACTTACTGCTAAGTATACGCACCACATTTATTGGGCTCAATCTATAAGTTGGATTTCGTTTAGTTCGATTCAAATATCAATTTTTTTTATTTTTTCAATATTAGTTTGGTAATCTCTCTTTATTTGCCCATCCATTCAGCTGCCTAGAATACACACGCTGACAAACCTTTGAGAAGACAGTCACAAGCGACGACGATTCGATGCTTAAGGTAGTGCGCCTCCGTGATTCGATCGAAACGGCAAAACCAGCTGCACTCCAGTGCAACGCAACGCGCCATCTCGACACGAAGCATGCTATATAAGTTGGAAGCACAAATTTGACACGTTCAAGTTGGTGGTCGCCGGTCATTCGTCATATCTTCCTTTTTCTTCCCACCCACAGCGTACATCGTACGCGGTCGACAAACGTCCCGGTCTGACTCCAATTAAATGAAGCTCTCACTCCCCCAATGTTCCCATCTTCAAACAATCCCCCCTCTCTCTCTCTCTCTCTCTCTCTCTCTCAAACCAGATACCAACATTCCCACCAACGATGGAATTTCAACTCCTAGACAATCATAAACCATGCCCCCAACTTAGGGGTTGTTTGCTTCTAGGATTTTAGAAAATGAGGGATTATGATAAAACCTTGAATTTTGAATATGAGAGATTATGTTGGATTTTGATTATGTTGGATTTTGAAACTTCCATGTTTGTTTGTAGGATTTGGTAATGGCTTTTAGTAGGTTGGAATTATGGCTTGATGGGGGAAATTACTTTCTTATCCTTAATGAACCACTTTTTACTTTACTTGTATTTTGAATGTTTTTGTATATACATGAAGAATTAGCATATGTAAAAATGGCAGCAACATCCATACTATTTGGTCATATTGTATACACGCAAGAAGCCATTAAAGTAAATTGAAACTCTCAACCCAAACCAATAATGTCGAAAGGAAAATCAAGGGTTTGGATTGGATTATAAAAAAAGAGGATGTAAGCATGAAATAATTAATTGTTGAGCTTCATATAAAAGGAAGACAAAACGACGATAGGCAGAGATGGAAAAGGTTGCCGGAGCTTTTTGCTGTGTTGCAATCCCTTGGCAACGAAGAGACAAAGTTGGTGAGATGAGAGTGTAGACAAAAGTCCTCAGTAGAGATAATAATAACCGAGGGCAAAATTGGATTACACAAAATGAGTGGGGGTAACACGGTCATTAAACATCATGGATTATATCTATCTTCCAAAATCCTAGCTATAGAGGTAAGATTTTATAATCCATGGGGCCCACGGATTTTAGCTCCAAATAATCCAATATTAGTGGACCCCACAGATTGAAACAAAATCCATTATATGCTAACAAACATGGATTCATTATAAAGTCCAACATATGTTGGATTTTGGGCAAAAATCCAACACCAAAATACCAAAAGCAAACGACCTCTTAAACTTTTCGAATTTGATATGCATGGTATAGTTAATATCCTTATAAGGGTTGGCATAAGAATGTCCCATATGTTATTGTTAGTTCTCGTTGTGTCTCTTGATCCAGTCATCCAGACATGTTGAGTGCAAGTGAAAATCATCATATGTATGTTGAACAGAAGGTGAATTATCAAGACGAGTGAACCCGATTATATACAAACGTGTACTTATATAAAAGTCTCATTGACAAATTCTCTGTTGTTATGACTTTCAAAATCAGATTATCTCCCGGCGACCTAACGTCACCGAGACAACGTCCTCGATCCACAGTATATGGGCTTATACACCTACGTTTTTTCTCTCTCTTGTTTTGAGGTCTGATCTATAACATTTTTCCCCCTAGGTTAAATTAAGATTAGGCCGTCTAGAGAATGTAATATATAAACCTTCTCAACCCCTTTGTAAACTGTAAGTACAATGAAATAGTTATCTCCTATCTATGAACATAACTAACACACATTCTACTCATGAACCACACAAATATATATGTTTTTTTTTTAATTTCCCGTTTCCTTCTAACATTCTCCATATTGGTTGAGTACACAATTGGCTGCCAAATTCGGAATCCGAAAAAGCGTGCAATAAATTCCTTAGCTTTGGCCGAGCCAGTCCCACAGATTGTTGTGGAACCGGGAAATAAAAGTGGCGTCTTGCAGATTGTGGTGGATGTGAGTTAAGACCCCATTTTGGGGGCTACTTCACTCACAACACAAGCAGCAGCAGCGGCAGCAGCAGATGTAAAGAAGAAAAGAGAGAGAATCATATGAATCATCGCTCAGACCGCACCAATTAATGAGTGATTGTGATATATATATGTACCAAGATGCCCACATTTTAACCATTATTATTTTCATCAATGGTATGGTGGTGGCACTAGCCTATTGACGCATATATATTCTTCCAAAAGCATATGGACCTGGGAATATATATAAAATTCTACCAAAATAAAAGGACAGGCATCAGCTTTCATGTCATAATTTTAAACCTATCTTTCTTGCTCTATCATTCCATTCCGTCAATCCGATAATTGGTCCAACAACGGTTGAAGCATTCGAAACTATAAGAGGGTTTAGTTTTATTTCCGAATAGTTGATAGCGAGTCTTACGTGTCCTGTACCATCCGCTAATTTCTTATTGGTGAAAGGGCTATGCAGTAACCAGTATGAGCCCTAGGTGAGCATTTCAGCCAGTTAGATACAAAATTGAGCTAGACCGTCTCATGTTAAAGTGGACAGTCGTCATTTCGTTTTGGTTTTGGTGATAGTTAAATTGATGGATTGTCATCAATGCATGTATACTAATATGCATGTATATAAGAAAATTAGTGTATTGTAGTTTACATCGTTTGATTTTTGTGATAGTTATTGTAGTATTTAAACAAGTTATACTACATGCATATTAGTCAGAATTCGGAGAACTGCGACCAATTGTCGAATTTAAATAACTGATGGAAGATTTTGACAACTGGTTGTTCCTTGTGATGATTGAATGTGAATTGGCGGCCAGGTTCCAACGATTATGATTTCCAAATGATCCTCTGCAGGATTTCGAAGATCAATAGTTGTTTATGGTGGTCACTAGTGTTTGCGATTATCAAACTCGGACTCTCGCTGGCCAATGCCCATACAAGAAATCATCAAATGCAAAGTGTCGTGTAGGGCCTGTAGGCATCCTGATTAGTACAAATTACCGGGTTAATTTAGTAGTTTAACGGGCCAGATCAAAGTCCGACCCAAACCAGATGGATTTGGGTTTGGATTGGAAAGCCTGGCCTCAGTAAGAAAACAGCAGCATGGTTTTTGTTTCCAGCAAGTCCACCAGAGACCACTTTAGAGCTCATGTGCAGTGAGCAACTTTGGGCCAGGTTTAATTAAGCCCACATGAGAGGACTAAGGATGGATTTGTTTCTTTTTCTGGTCCTGCCACGACTAGAGTTTTTTTTTTTAGGGTTGCTACTTGCTAATGCTATACATCTTGCTAAACGTGGTGGTAAGAAATATCAAGATTACTCTATTGTCTTCCTGTCTTCGCTACTCTAATTTTCATCCAACAAATACACTAAAACAAAAAAGAAAATAAAATACGCATTAGATTCGTGATGACATTAGTCTTCCGTGGAGTCTGTCACAACCTTACTCTTGGTCGTGCGGCTTTAGCTCTCAATTTCGTTGGAAATGCTAGGCGGTCTTCTCACAAGCTCTCAAACTCAATCAACTCACAAGAAGAAGACACAAGAAGATGGGAGGAACTTTATAGTTGTATTGCTCACAAAAATGATGGATGATTACAAATGAGGAGGATGTGCTCCTTTTACAGGCCCTCCTCTCTTACAAGGTGTAAATACCTCTTAAAATGCTCTCCACCATTAACACCCTATTAAGTTTCCCCCATAATGCACACCATTATACCACTTCATAATGTGACTCTTTATGTGCACCATTAAGCTCATCTTCAAGATGGGGATTCCTAGGGATGGGATACGGTGATAACCCCCTTAGGGGGTTGTGAGTTTGACAACTCACCTCCTCACCATTGGATACGCCCTCTCTCCTGTCTCTTTTTTTTCTTTCAAATTGATGGTTAAGATTAAACGAAGGGTATTTTTGGAATGGAACAAATTTACCACACACAATCATTTACCCTCCCATATAAATTAAAAACAAAACCCTAACTCCTCCCACCCCTCTCCCCCTCCTCCCTCTCTCACGCAACCATCCTCCACCGCAACAGTCCTCCACCGCCGCAACCCTCCACCGCTGCCGCGTCCTCCATCGCAGCAGCCCTCCACCGCCGGCGCCGCCACCCTTGTCTCCTGCAGCAGCCCTTTACCGCCGTCATCTCCGCAATCCTCAGTTTCCCTCCACCCTATGTCGTTGCAACGTCCCTTCCGACCATCGCGGCGCAATCATCCTTTCCCCGTCGGAGCCCTCTCGCCGCCCTTCGTCTCCCACCGCTGCCGCCGTCGCGAGGTCACCCTCTTCCCCTACCTCTCTCTCCCGTCACCGACTCCCCTTTTCTAGATCTGGTTTTTTAGTGATACCATTTTTCTTCTGGTAGCGTACCAGTGATAGTGGTAACTACCACTACCATCAGGTAGCTGGTAGTGGTAGCGTACCACTATCATTTGGTACCGCTACCAATGCTACTGGTACACTACCAGTGCTAGTGGTACGATACAATATGTTAGTGGTAGCGTTGTACTGGTAGCGCACCACTAGCACTGGTACATTTTTTAACGCACTGGTAGCGTACCACTAGCACTGGTATATTAATTACCAGTAGACTAATGGATTGGTACACTTTTAACGCACTGGTACATTTTTTAGGTTGTCGGAGGGAGTCTACCGGAGAGAATTCGCCGGAGAAAAAGTCTGTCTGTCGATGCGGAGTGGCCGCTGGAGAAAGGAAGAGAGAGATAGATAGAGATATTAATGTATAGGATTTAAATTTTTTAAAAATGTATTTAATATGGGTTTTTAATTCCCAATATAATTAATACAAAAAAGGTAATTAATATATTCCTTTTTTCATACCCAAAATACCCTTGGTTGTCAATCTGACAACCCCCTTAGGGGTTGTCATCGTATCCCGTCCCCGGAATCCTAAGAGCATCCTATGCTACAAGGTCTTCCTTAATGCCACGTGTGCTTGACTTGGTCATGATCCGCCACATCACTCGCAATGTCGTCTGCCACGCGTGACATCCTCCCCCACCTATTCTCGCAACGCCCTCGTCGCGTCCTTCAATTGCTTGACTTAGGCAATTGGAGGTACGCTTAAGTATAATTAGTAAACAGATGGCCGATAAAAGACAGTTGTCTTCCCCAAAATGACATCATCTCAAACTACCACCGATTCATCCTTCATTCCTTCCATCAATTTGGAATTATAATTTCCCACTATAAGTTAAAAAGCTATTTACGTCACAACACTTAGGCGAATGAGGCACTAGGCTAGACCAAAACACTTGTCTTATGCCTAGTGCATTCTTGAACCTTGGTTATTATCAGTTTTAGACCATGTTTATCAGTTGAATATGTTGTAATTTGTGGACAATTATCAATACCAATATTGTAAAATAAATGATTCACTTGATTTATGGATTAAGCATTATTTAGTTTGAAAATTTCTTCCATTTTAAGTTTAAAACTATTGAAATTATGTTATCATATGAAATATATATCGTAAAACCACCGAATCCACCCAACCACTCATTATCCACAATCATCCAACCCAATCCAACCCAACCCACCCACATGTAATGCTTGGGTGGATGTGGGTCATTTTCTCCTTCACCCACCACGTAATGGGTGGTTCCAAACCCACCCAAATCCGCATAAAACCACCCACTACTCACCCCTACTATCGGCTCCGCCTCCAATGTAGAACACTTGTTGCACATAAATAAACTTATAAATAAGATAAATAAAATATGATTACTTATGGATTGGTCCTCTGGAGTTGTGCTCTGGACTTGACCCGTTGCTAAGGCCCAAAAGGTTAATGAGATGGGCTCTGTCCATTTACTGATCGTCTTCAACCTTAGACTAGCAAGACCGTGTACATGTTAAGAAGCTATCACAAGCTAGTAGAGAGTAAGAAGATAGACAAGTATGCATGCTTTTTTTAACCGAGTTCAACCTAATTCTAACATTCGGCTCAAAGGTGGATCACTCTTTGAGATCTAGTGTGTGTGTGGGGAGGGTGCATATATGTTACCTTACCTTGGTTAATTCATCTGGACAAAAGGCTTATCAGTTATATGATTTGGTCAGTCAACTTCTTGTCTCGAGGAATTTTTCACCTTCCGGTCATTGATGAGGCTGTCCATAGCATGCCTTCGTTGAATATCGTGGTACATTTGCTTCGATTGCCAAGTTGGTTATCATTCATTTTTTACACACCGTGGTTGGTTCATACATTAGCTAGACATTAACAATGCGTTTCTACATGAGAATTTAACTGAGGAGGTTTATAATCATATTTTTTCCGAGAGATACGGTCTATCAAAAATTAAATCTGGGAGGAAAAATAAATAGTGAGAGGGAAGTGACTATGATGTGGTACATTTTCTTTCACGAATTCAGAAATTGCCTTCCACTAGTATTAGCTCCATAATTTTTTTCTCACAATCCCTCCAATCTAACGACTCTCATTAACTTTGACAGATCCCTAAAAATGCATTAGTTGGCACCATAATCATAATCACTCATGCGCCAAGGCTAGCAACCTAACACGTACCATAGTTTTCCTGTCCCACTATCCATCTAAAGAAGAAGATCAAACTAAAATATCCAAAGTGATGATTAAAAGTGGGGGAATGAAGAAATAAGATGAACAAAGCATCATCATCATATATTAATCTCCACCTTTGAAAGCATGGAATTCCCTAGCTAGCTAAGCTAGCGCTCTACTCATTTCATAACAAAGTAACAAACATAATTAAACCACCAAACTCAGCACACCCAAATACTGAAAACAAAAGCATAAAAAAAAAAGATCACAACGGAAATGAAACAGAGAAGAAAACAGAGCACTGCCTCTATCCTGGCCGTCCACCCAACAACTCTCTCACGACGACGAAACCATCACCAAAGCCACCGCCGCCGCCACAATGACAGCTCCAAACAACGGCGCAACGTTGTCAGCTGCCTCGGAAGAGTCAGGGAAGTTGGACGCCTGGCGGTTAGGTGTAGTGGAAGCGGTGGCGGCCGGGGTAGCAGGGGAAGTAGTTGTGGTATCGGCGCCGCCGCCGGAGGCAGGGGAGGTAGTGGGAGTGGCGGATCCACCACCAGCAGCAGCAGCAGCGACGGTGACGGCGAGCTTCATCCCTCCGCCGCAGTGTCCGACGACTCCGCAGATGAAGTAGTGTGTGCCGGCGGTCTTGAGGGGCACGGTGGTGGCTCCGCTGTTGTCGGAATTCAGGGCGTTCCCCACCGTGCACGTTTTGTAGTCGCTAGCGCTCACCTCGTCCACCGTGTGCCCGCCGGGGTAATTAAACACTTCGGAATTGAAATTCGAATCAGTCAGACTCGTGATTCACAATTTTAATAACAAGAAATTCTGAAAATCTCAGATCGAAATTGGTAATTTATAAGATACTCCGTTTTTTCAGTAAGCATTAGTGACGACCCACGAGCGCGATAAAGTAACAATCTTTGTGGGAGAAAAAGGGGTTAAATAGGGGAATTAGTGTCAATGGAGTAACTAATTTGCAACCCATTTGATTTTTTATGATCGGAAAGCTAAGATAAGAGTATAATGGGGGAAAACAGAGAGGGAGATGGGCTAACCGAGGGAATCGCCGACTTTGAATGACTTGCCGGCGGTCCATGTGGTGTAATCGGCGCCGATTGCCCAGCCGCTGGTGTCGCCGACGGTGTAAGTAGTGGCTAGTGTGGTGGTCGGAAGAGAGATTCCGACGAGGCAGAAAATGAGGGCTAGAGATGTGGCGAATGAGGCAGAGCTCGCCATCTTTGCAGGGGGAAGCTAAGTGGGTTAGAGAGGAAGAGGTTGGGAGGGATATGAAAGGTGGAAAGTTTCTTTGAGGGGGTAAAATGGTTTGTGTTGGTGAAGGGAGGTTTATGGTTCTTGTGAGGTAGCTTAATTGTTGTTAAGGGTTAGTTTCTTATATAAGGGAGGTGATGGTTATGGAGTTGGTGAAGTTTTGTCCCACTCATGAAAATGCTATGGGTCTTTTTCTCAATAGTATATTTTTGATAGTAGATGTTGTATAAGTTGCCTAAAAAAGGGGTTTAGTACAAGTAAGTTATCAGATTAATCTCTCAGGTTTGTGTGTCCATTATTTGTAATTTGAGTTAAAATTGAGTTTATTATTGTATGGTCTTTCTAGATGATTTTTGGGGTTTGAAATTTAAATTTTAAGTATGATGAATATTATCATCCATAAATTATCATTAAACAAAAATGTAAAAGTTATCATAATTTTATAGTCCATTTGGATCATAGTTTTATTTGGTACTCTCTATTAAAAGTTGCAACACATCCAAGAATCATGTAACTTAATTAAGTTGTACAGTTTTGACTATTGCACACATATTGAAAGTAGATCATGTTATTAGAGGGATTCAAACAAAATCACAAACTAACATGAGAGTATGGATGATTTAAAAATATATAATCACAAGCCGTATATGTGAAACAATAAAATTGTGATAAAATTATATTGATTGATCACTGACATAGTATAGTACGTTGTAATCGGTTAGATTCGTTATTATCAAAACTAGATATATTTGTTAGATTCTTCAAGATAAAATTATATTGACCGATCGATGAATTAGATCGAAAACTGATATTTGATGAAAATGACTAAATTTGTCAAACAAATTTATTTCTAAATGTAACTAAATTTTTCCTTATCAAAGAAAAAAACCATCTATATCATAAGAGTTAAAGATTTAACTATTCAAATGTATCTTATCTAAAAATAACAAATAAAAAAAATGAAGGAAAAGTCGTTGATTTGGGGGTTGTCCAGTGACTTGAAACACACTTCATGACTACCAATATGCAGTGAACAAAGAGGGTAATTATTTTTCCTTAACTGAAGTTGCTTAACTTGAGCATCCGGTTTAGGGATAGCAATGGGTCGAGTTGGGTCGGGTTTTGCCAAACCCAAACTCAAACCCATGGGTTTATCCGTGAAAAAAATCCGGGGTAAAACCCACTGGGTTTGAAAAACTCAAACCCAACCCAACCCGCTGGGTATCCGCGGGTTCATGGGTACCCACGGGTTTTTGTCGTAAAAAATTTACAATAACATGTTCCTATCAAAATTAAAGTCAAATATCAATCTCTCAATACAAATTATCCATATTTAAAACACCATTCTAGAAAATTCAAACAAATCACAAATTAACTATACAAATTGTTCAACACCAATCTAGAAAACTCAAGAAAATTGAAGTAAATCATAAATTATCCATAAATAACATATTAATTGAAGGCTTCTTCCTTTCAATTAAGTTTCTTCATTCTCCACTCGATAACACAAACTTCATTCTACACAATTAGAAAGAAAAAATTAGACATGTTTCCACAAACATAAATAAGATTAGTTGTTTAAAATATTAAATATATCGAGAAAATTAATTATATGTGTGGGTGGGTACCCACGGGTCGGGTTTACCTAAACCCAAACCCAACCCGGTGAATAGTGAACGGGTTTAAACCCAAACCCGACCCAAAACCCGTCAACACGGATTTTACCCGCGTTGATCGGGTTGGGTCAGGTGGGTACCCGTGGGTTCGAGTTTGGTTGCCATCCCTAATCCGGTTGTTAGCTAGCACATGATACGACGGCAGCAAAAGGCTCGAAAAGGCCAAGCCAGGCCAGTACATCAAAGCACCAAGAAAAGTTTCCAGATCAAAAGGAAGGAAAAAATTATATATGTAAAGAAATGAGAAGAGAAGCTGATTTCATTGCATCTGTTAATCTATTATTATGCCATTCTAATGATGAGGTTTCTTTTAATTATCCCATATATAATGACTGATTAAAAGAGGTTCCCAAACTTCATCATTAAAGGAAGAGAATATTGGAGTTCAGAGACAATTTTAGTAGCGTATATTTAGCCATACTTAATGTAGTAGTAAGCATAGTAGCAGTAGTTAATATATACAAACCTAAATACAAAGTAGTGGTACCTAATAACAATTCTTCAAGTGTGTAGGTGTTCCTATCTTTATCTTAGGCTATTCAAACGGAGTGATTACCGTGATAATCATTTTGACCAGTAGTATTTGGATAATTTGGTTTGGTTAATTTGGATAATCATTTTTGTTTGGTTATACTTTTTAGCTTGTTTGGTTTGGTTTCAGACACTCCTAACCAATCAAACCAAATTAACCAGTTAAGTAATTAGTCATATATCTAACATATATTATCTACACATACTTATTAACTATAATTATGTGTTATTTATTATATAAATTGCAAATTGATGCACTAACCGATAATTTTTCTCACTTAATGATAATGTGATATTATATTGGTTAACCAATTAACCAAACCGATTAAACTTTAGTTTGATTAATTTGGTTGTTGTATTAGGTTGGACGGTTTGGTTATGATATTGTATTCCATGGTTAATAGAATTTATACTTGTTTGGTTTGGTAATTACCATGGTAACCATTTGAACATCCCTAAATTCTTATCTTTGTGCACTAATCTCATTCTATAAACCTAGAAAAAGTAATTTTCAACCTGTTGTTGCAAGTATTTCTCGATGTACCTCTCGGTATGAAAATGGAGATTATCTTAATTATATAGTTGTCCTCACTTAATCAGCTATTGCATTTGTTTTCTTAATTTGAGAATGAAGATTAACTAGTTTGGTGTATGATCCATTGGTCGAAATATCATTTGGATTTTGGATACATATTTTTTAGTTGAACTAGATGTATTTTCTTGAGAAGTGTCAAAGTGCACTCGAAATGCTCCCAATTACAATGAGAGAGGCTTTGCCTCTATCACTCTACTCTGCTACAAGCTACATCAGACCCCACTATACTACTATACAAACTGAAATAGAACTAAGGACTAATACCACTATGAAATACGAACTATTAAAAATGTGTCATTTGTGTCCTAAAGTATCCAATATGACATTTGTGTCCTAAACTATTTTTCCTTAGAGTTGACTATCGTTGACCGTTAGATTTTAACAGAAAACCTAGTCAGCACTGATGTGGCATCTGACGTGAAATATTATTATTTATTTTTCCATAAAAAATGAATAAACTAGAAGAAATTATAAGAAACAAAAATCTCTTGGTCTCCCCTCTCCTCACTTGACCTCGCTTCTCCAGCCCTTCATCGCGCCGCCGCCATTGTCGGCGAAACCTAAAGAACCTATTCCATCATTTCATATCCCCGATCCTCCTCCACCGGTCCACCGTACATCGCCTCCTTGCCAACCGTTGTCTCTCTCTAATCTCTGGCAAATCCCAATCTCCTCCAGGCAGTGGTGATTAGAGCCGCCGCACCAACACACTCGTTTCAATCGAAGAAAGCGATCTCCCTTGGCATCATCGATTTCAGGAGGTAGAGGAAGAAACAGAGAGCTGGCGGAGGGAGGAGCGCAAGGGGAGGAGCAGCAGCTGGGCTGGAGAAGGAGCGGGCCTTCACCAGGCTCCAGATCCCCATATCCGGGCTGGGTTTATGGGACTGAAAATTCCCAATTTCCGTCTACCTCTTCATCTCCCTTGACGAAATCGGCTCCAACCTACATTTGAAAACCCTCCCAATCGCCACTCTCTGCTTCCTCTACTCGATTTTGGGGTTGTATAGGACGACGACGTCGATGCTGGAGGCTTTCTGGAAGAAGTGGATTCATGGCTTACCCACAATTCACCACCGCCGCAATTCACCAGCTCAGATATGGGGGTTGGAGACAGAGATGACGCAGATCGACGACGACCCACCACATTCCCTGACAACCCACCACAACCCCTGGCCTTGCATCACCAACCATCATGGGGATTCCGGCATGGCGAGGACTGCTATTTCGAATTAGATCTAATTAGGCTTGCGTGAGTTGGGGAAGCCGCTGGAGAAGATGTCGATTGGAGCTGGGGAAGCCGCTGGAGAAGACGACATCTGACCTATACCCGACCGGCGCTGCAATGAGCAGGAGGGAAAAGTCACCATGAAAACAGAGAAATAAGAAGAGCTCGCCGCTGCTGACTGAGCGAAGGCAAACAGAGAGGAGATTGCGAAGGAGAGAGAAAGATTGAAAGGGAGTGATTTTCGGCATGACATGTATCTCTGTATGACGAAACAACGAAACATTGAGCAGGCTGATGCTCTATTCCCCCCCCCCCCCCCCCCCCCCCCCCCCCCCCCCCCCCCCCCACCCCTTCTCAACGATGGCGTACGAGGACGACGGAGTGGGAATCGGTTCCGAACCGGCGGAGCATACGACAATTGGAGCGAGGTAGTCGACAAAGTTTTATTTTTTCAATTTTTGTAAGATTTTCTATTTTAAGTTTTCTTTGTATTTTCATTAATTTTAATTTAAAAATAACAACATGATGTGGCGCATACATGGCTGCCACATATGTGCCATGTAACCAACAGTCAACATTTTATGGTTGACCGTTTGGTCAACTGTTATCTATAACGGTTGACGAAATTGTCAGGATGTAAATGACACACAACCACTATACGTCAGGACACAAATGTCATATTGAATAGTTTAGTACACAAATGACACATTCTTGATAGTTCTGATTTTCTAGTGGTATTTACCCTAGAACTAAGTACATGGTAAATCCCAAAGTGTTGCAGATCAGTTTCAACTCATTTTTACCCCTTTTCAGATTCTTTTATATTATCCAAACCTATTAAAATTCTATTAATTATCCAAATCTTTCATAATGTATCAAAATTTTAACCATTTTTACGTAATTGTTAATAATTTTGTAAGTCTTTTCTTAGTTAAAATACTAAAATTTTGGAATGTTGACCTTCATGAGTCTCTTCCAAGTCAGTATCATGTTGCCAAGTCAATATTACTAATAAAATTGCTAACAGGAAGTTAACATTTTGCTAATATTTAGTATTTCAATAGATTTGGATAATATAAAAGAATCTGAAAAAGGTTTGGATAAAAAATAGACGCTAAAAAAAACCATAACCACAACCTTTTATCCAATATTTGTTCCTTTCGATGCGTGACACAATACATATACATCAATATAAGTTAGGAATCATAATTCATGAGCAACTATCTAAAGTTCATAACCAACCAAGTGAATAGACTACACATAATCGTTGAATACTTTAGGGTTTCTATTATGCAATAAGTTTTAATTTGTGCATGAAATAACAGAAGAGGGTCTCTAAGAAGATGAATTAAACAATCAATTTGAAGATGAATAGATGATACATAGCATAGAACCGTACATGAACTTTTTCAACGTGTGATACTTAACAGAAGGTTTGCAGGAAGAAGAAATTGAATAATCAATTATTGTACTCTAGACATTCTAAATGTAAACCTTTTGACATACACTAAAAGACACTAATCACATCACACATGTTTCATCATGCATTGGTTGAGAATTCTACTTACTACTCTGCAATCAAGAAAAACTGTAGTTTTATTTCCAAGTATTCATTTCTATTATTCTCTTTGTTTATCATGTTTGTTTTGCTTGAAAGGTAGGTGGTACCCCAAATTTAGTTACTGATGTATTCTTGAAGTATATCGTACTCCAAGTAATCTAATTGTTGGATGTACTTCATTGTAATTCGAAGCATCAAAATCGTTAATTATGATTTTTATTATATTCACCTTCACATTTGGGTTTAGAGAATCTAGGACAAGTGTTATCCTTTAGAGTTTATGGTATAGTATCGTACACTAAATTCGATTGAATTCATGGTCTATATATAAATATATCACTAAAAGTATTTGGACTATCATATACTCAAAGATAGTGTAGCACTTTGACCCATTTATAAATATTGAGAGAAGGAACCCCAATTCCTCTCCAAAATTCCTTAAACTCAAACCATAAGATCAATTTAATAAAAAATAATAAACTACCATTATATTTCGTCAAATCATATAAAAATTATATCTAATAGACCTAAACGCATGGGTATATTATACACCAGTCATACGATACCATATATCCATAGAGGATAGGAGCTGTACGTATGTGAATAACAAGTATCATGCTCAAAATCACGCAAATCACATCTCTCTATATAATTTATCCAAACGAAGAGCACTTCTAATATGCTTTAAATACAATAATTTGAAGTTGTACCATAATGTTAAAGAAATAAATAATTGAAGTTGTATCATAAAATAATTTGAACCTTTATGTCATGGTACAACTACCATAAGATAAAGAGACAACTTTAGTTTGTACAAGAAAGAGATTTATACAAGATAATAAAAGTACAACCTGAAGTTGTACCATAACGTTAAAAGTAACTAAAGCATTCATACTTTAAACTTCCTCCCACACTAGAACTGTATTGTTGTCCATGGAGATACGGTAAGGAATCCATCCCAATAACTATAAGCCAGATGAAACCTACAGAAAAAAACGGTGGTGGTTAAACGTTACCTCATTGAAAGGCATAACACATTAGATCCAGCAACATAAGTGAAAAAGCATTTCTTCTTGCTCATATCTGTTTGATAGACTTAAGCTTGATTCAGAGCGAAGGAAACATCCGATACATGGTGATGGCGGGCTTCCTTAGAAACAAAAAAACCGATCAATGCAAGGGTTGAAAGTAGATACATTAGTAGCACAACCCAGAAGTCAAACTTTGGAACGTGTTGTTTGTTTTAAGTAATGCCACGATTTTGCATCTTGTTTGGAGCCTTTTGCCTAACAATGGAAAGATAAGAAATCACCTGTCCTGATGGAAACCCCCCGGCACCTAACGGGTGGCCAAAGTGCCGTCGTTAAAGGAACTGATCTTTTTTTCTTCTTTCGAATTGGTTTATTTGGGATCATAATGTTTGCAATAACGTGTAATTGAGCAAATGTGTTCTATGAAAAAGGCTGGAATTCACATAACTTGATTTTCAATTTACACGATTCCTTATAGTTTACGCCTAAAAGTTAATCCATAATTACAAGAGATTTAATGGATTCATAAGGTAAGCTCAATATTAATTATTAAATGAGACTAGTTGAGTCTCATTCAGTTGAGTTTTTGGACCTAAGTGCCCGAACTCCCTCTCCCGTGCACAGATAGTCGACCAGCCTCCCTGACTTCCATGGTCAGCGGTGTCCCTCCCTTGGTATGAAATATGGCTCTAAAATAATACTAAGTCTGGACGCAAGACAGGCTTAATGACTAACTGACATGGTATCAAGACGACAAGGCAGACCTGGTACCAAGACATAATTTGGCAAAGTATGGAGCCAAGAAGGTACCAAGCGGGCTAAATCGACTTCGTACCAAGTAACGAAATTTGGCTAAGTACGGAGCCAAGTGGGTACCAAGCAGGCAAGGCATGCATGGTACCAAGACATGAAATTTGGCTAAGTATGGAGCTAAAATGTATGGATACCAACCTGACAGGGTGCCAACCCGATGAGGAGGTGACAAGGTGTCCAGTTGAGGTGGCCACTCGAGCACCGTACGGACAGTCCCTATATTCTCAAGACTAAGTGTGAAATCATGGGGGTGGGGGCTGGTCGCCCAGGATGCCGAGCTAAGAGGATGACAATTTGATGAGGACTTGGTGTAGATCCCCTTAGGGGGCCATGTGGAGAGTAAGTCTCAAAACGAGTTAGGTGGCATCTTAACAGGTACCAAGCCGGCAGGGTGCAATCTACCAACTTGACGAGATTATAAAAACTAAGTATAAAGACCAGACCGGCAGGGCTAGCTTGGTGGCAGGTGATATCAAGCCGATGAGATAGGCTAGCCTGAGTGGGTACCAAGCAGGCAAGGCATGCATGGTACCAAGACATGAAATTTGGTTAAGTATGTAGCTAAAATGTATGGATACCAACCTGACAGGAGTCGTACGGACAGTCCCTATATTCTCAAGACTAAATGTGAAATCTTGAGGGTGGGGGCTGGTCGCCCAGGATGCCGAGCTAAGAGGATGTCAATTTGATGAGGACTTGGTGTAGATCCCCTTAGGGGGCCATGTGGAGAGTAAGTCTCAAAACGAGTTAGGTGGCATCGTAACAGGTACCAAGCCGGCAGGGTGCAATCTACCAACTTGACGAGATTATAAAACTAAGTATGGAGACCAGACCGGCAGGGCTAGCTTGGTGGCAGGTGATATCAAGCCGATGAGATAGGCTAGCCAGAGTGGGTACCAAGCAGGCAAGGCATGCATGGTACCAAGACATGAAATTTGGTTAAGTATGGAGCTAAAATGTATGGATACCAACCTGACAGGGTGCCAACCCGATGAGGAGGTGACAAGGTGTCCAGTTGAGGTGGCCGCTCGAGCACCAAGTCGTACGAACAGTCCCTATATTCTCAAGACTAAGTGTGAGATCTTGAGGGTGGGGGCTGGTCGCCCAAGATGCCGAGCTAAGAGGATGTCAATTTGATGAGGACTTGGTGTAGATCCCCTTAGGGGGCCATGTGGAGAGTAAGTCTCAAAACGAGTTAGGTGGCATCGTAACAGGTACCAAGCCGGCAGGGTGCAATCTACCAACTTGACGAGATTATAAAAACTAAGTATGGAGACCAGACCGGCAAGACTAGCTTGGTGGCAGGTGATATCAAGCCAATGAGATAGGCTAGCAACAGGGTACCAAGCCGTAAGCAAGATGACAAGGCTAAGTTAGTATGAGTATGAGGTCTCCATGGATATCAAGGATTCATAAGCAACATGATGGAGGCAAGGCAAGGAGGCCCCAACCCCACCTAGTCATGACGAGGCGACAAGGTGGAGCTCAACTCAACACCAGTCAAGCCCGATGCCAAGCCACCTAGATGACGGTTACCAATCGGTCACCAAGGCAGCAATGAGGACCCCGAGGCATTTTGGAGCAACAAGCCAGCTAGTGGTAACCAAGGCAGTTATACCCGGTGGCTACAAATAGGAGAAAACGAAGACAGGAAAATGGTTCCAGAACCAAACATTTGACTCTACATGTAACACTTTAGATAACATTAGCATTAATTTAACATTTTAGATAAATTCATCATCGACAAAGCATGACAAAACGCATTTTTGGGTGAAATAGATGAGTTATTGTAAGAACTTTTGAAGTTAAACATGCTAAGAATAAAGCAATGTAGAGGTGAGTGACTTATTGGGAAGTCAATATGATGCACCTAAAAGTGAAACCGTACGTACGAGCTAAACCCAAAGCAGACAATATGTTTGTCAAGAAGGATTGAGATAATACAAGTGATATCATAGTCTCTCTGCATCCTCTTAAATGATGGTAGGGAAAACCTCAACCACGTTAAGTCCCAAAAGGGATGCTATGTAACACTTTCGACAAATCTCACATCAATAAAAACACAAATGAGAGATCCATAGTTTGATCATCACAAAGTCATGCATGTAATATTCTTTTATTTTTCAGTATATTGGTAAGGTGTTTACTCCGGATAAAACTGTCCATCATTATCAATGTGAATAATATATGGACAAGTAAAATTATTGCTATTTCAGGCGTTCACCAATTAAGCTAAAATAGTAGTTACCAATTCATCTAACACATCTATGTGCTTCTGGCAACAAAAGTCAGTTTAGTGGGGCTAGGCCAGCCAAAGGGAAATAATTGATTTTGCATGATTGAACCAAACCAGACCCACCCCATTCCAAACCCAACTATGGAGCTGCCCTGTACAATAATGAACCGCATCCATCCATATATAGCTACTTTTGGGAAAGTGGGTTGGGTGAATTTCCTAGTTTATGGTAAGTTCAACTGCTCTCTATCTAGTGAGTTCAGCGATTCTCGAAACAGTACTACCAACTTTTTCCAACAACTTTGTTGGCTCAGTCTGCACTCTGCACAAACCCGGCTTCAAGGATCAACCTTTTGATTTGAACCGGGATGGATTGAACATACTTATGAACGTTATATAGGTAGTTTAACTTGCTCCATTATTGCTTGGTTACATAGTGTGAAGTGGGGGAAGGTTGTCTGTCGAGTTAGGTTAGCTATGGCGGTCCAAGTTGTTTGAGTTCTATACAACTAACTGCTCTGCTCTTGAATGAATTCTGTAAAGTTGGTATCTCACCGATTTCCCCATAACACCCGATCGAGCATTTGTTTCGACTTCTTTCCCTATTGATTTGGTACACTACTATTGTTCCTTCATGACGATGGACAGGTTTGTCTAAACCATTTTCATTCTCATTTTCAAATATTCAAACTCATACCCGTCTCAAACTAATGCGGTGGACCATTTTCGTATTCGTGGGTTTCAGATACCCATAGGTAATACCCGCCTTGTGCATCCAACATTATTATACTAAAGCTTTATAAAAAAAATTCCGATTATAACACTATAAACCTATTATATCATGAAGTCAACAAAAAATACAATCATTCTTAATTTGGTTCAAATCATATGATCCTAAAACATCTATTAATCCTGAGATAAAGTTCAATATTTTCGAAATCATTATTCTCTTACTCTCATACATCTACTAAGTAATAATTAATTAACATAATTTTATTAACCAGAGGTAAAAGTGACATGATGAAGGGAGAATTGAGAGAGAAGAATTATGTTTTGATTTGGGTGGCCACCACCCACTCAATTGCATTTATACTATTTTTTTTGAGTTATTTTCACTATCAATTATAGGTTATAATTTGATCCATGTATTTTTTATATGTGTAAAAATGTTCTTGGTGAGGCGGGTATTAGTATGGGACGGGGAGGCTAAAACCATACCCGCCCCATACCCATCAAACTTTTAGTAGTTTTTACCCATATCCGCCCATACCCGATTAATGCGGGTATTGTCCGCGTTAACTAGATCGGGGATGATCGGATACCCGCGCTAATGGGTTTGATTGACATTCCTACTTATGAGAATTGGTCCCTATAAACATTGCATAGGTAATAGAGGTTAAACCAGTAACATACCCATGAACTATTGGGGTGTGCATTTAACAAGTTAAATTTAAAAATTTAAAAACTCTTAAATAAGAAAATATCCGATTAGTACAGATACAATAAAAGGCCACGACGTGTTATCATATTTTGAAAAAATTATAAAATATACTCATTGTCTATAATGCTTTTAAAATCTCTTAAATATATTCTACTAGACAACAATCATTCATGAACTGATACCTATTCGATTTTGAAACTTTTTCTTAATGCAACCAAAATTTGAAAAGCCCTCTTAACACTTTGAGTTACAATCAGTAAACTCAATGCAACTCTGAGTAAAAAATAAACCGATAGATATGATAGATTGAATTTTGGCTCCACCATTAACATAACTAATACATTAGTTCATTTTAATCCACAAATAACTCATCATTTTTAACACAACAATAATAGTTCTCAAAATTAAATAGGAGAAAAAGAATAAGAAAGGTAATCAAACTCTTCAGGATAATGTTGTGTGTTAAAATATGGAGGGGACAAGGGGTAGTTCGTGGTTTTAATTTTAGGTTTTGGAAATTTTGGGGATAAGGGCTACACATTTATAATTACATTTGTGACAAACTAAAAAAACAAATGAATTGTAGTCAAATAGAAAAGATGTTCACTAATAACTACTGTGTTATAGATTCCAATCACATATACTATCTTTTTTTCTTCTTCTTTTTCCATATTCAAACTAGTAGCTGGGGTTCATCAATATGTGATTATATAATGAGCGAAACATAACAATTGTTAGAGGGTGAAAAAGTCTTTCTCTTTAAGATTTTCATCAAGCATAATGTATGAGTTATATCTAAATTAGGTGTTCATACCTTGTTGTCTACACCTTATAAGAACAAATATAGCAATGTGAACAATAATGAGCTTTTGATGGGTCCAAAGGGGAGGAACACTTGACTCTTGAGTGTTGCAGTATATATTATATTGGTTGCTTAATTGATTTGATTGATTAGAAGCTTCTGAAACCAAATCACCTAAACCAAATAAGTTTGAAAATTTTAATAAAATCAAACCAATTATCTAAATTAACAAAATCAAAGTATTTGAATACTACCGGTTAAAATGATTAATTAGGAGTGTCTGAAACCAATTTCTAAATTAACAAAATCAAAGTATTCAAATACTACTGATTTAATCTACTTGATTGATTAAAAATATCTAAAACCAAATCAGTTAAACCAAATACTATTGATTAAAATTATTACGATGATAACTACTTCTTTTGAATAAGCCTAGTATGGCCTTTACTACTTCTGTTGGAATAAGCCTAGTATGGCCTTCAACTCCCGAGGCCCATGTTACAGGCCAACAGCCCGTTATAGCTAAAAGGAGCTTCCATAGCCCCGCTCTAAGGCCAAAACGACGACCCAGGTCCATAACCAATATTAGGTAGGAATGGCCATGGGCAGGTCCGAGACGGGTATTTCGATACTCATATTCATCCCATGGTAGTTCGAGTCCAGGTCGGGTAATATATTACGGGGTTGGGTATATAATTTATGTAAAAACATTAGAAATATTCGTTATTTTCATTAAAATACCAAGAAAAAACCATAATATGATATAATCTAGTTAAATTATTAAAGAAATTGACGTTTTCACTTAATTGCAACTTTATTATAGCTAAAATATAATGTAATAAGAGAAAAATCCTAAATAATTTGACTAAAATTATATATAATTTAGGCAAGAACCGGTCGAGTAAGGGTAGATCGGGTCGATAAAAGGAACCCATGCATGCTCCGTCCCGCCTACTGGGCCGATCTGACCCGCCTCAAAACAGGCCAAACAGATCGGGTAAATCGTGTCAGGTCAAAATTGTCATCGCTAATATTATGGCTTCTAAACCCACCAAGTAAACCAAATCCTCATAACACACTTTTGGTTACACCCACCAAGTAAACCAAATCCTCAAAACACACTTTTGGTTACATTAAACCTGATTTTATCTACATTTTCCCTACATCGATTCTTCAGTTCTAAGTTCTAACCTCACGTTAGCCTTGCAGTACAAAACTACAAATCACCACATTAAAGATAATTTAACTCAATGTCCACCTTTGGAACAGATAATTCCCCACTTATGGAGCACGAAACTTCAGAGCTGTTGGAGGAATGCTTTGGCAAGTCGCATTTATGGAAGACATTGTAGCAGTTGCAATGAAGGCAAGAGAGGACGTATTCCATCCATGATCACATAATTTATAGGCTCAACATCAGGGTGCGCATGAGAAAGGATGCAAGTCAAGTGATCGTAACAACGCGATACCAAAATTGATCATAAGAAGCAGAAAAGAAGAATTTCCAATTGATCATATGGTCTCATCAACACCTGTAACTGCTGCTTCTTCTTCAGTATCATTTATCTCAGTTGTCCTACTTGTCGGAGGAGCTTTGGTCCTCGGCGGTCTTACAAATTGCTTGCTACGAGCCACTCGAATTGGTCTCCCCAAAAGTTCCTGCAAAGACGAGCTCACTGCGAGTTAGTACTGCCTTCATGCTAACCAGCTTCCTTTATGTTCACAAGGAGCACGACAAGAACCTAGCATTACCTTCTCTTGGAAAGCAGAAAGGGCCTCTTCAGCTTCCTTCTTAGTTTTGAAGGACACAAATCCATATCCGGAGGACTTTCTAGGATTCACATTATATATTATCTCCGCAGTGGCAACGTTAGCCCCTCCTGCAATGAAAAACTCCTTAACGTCCTTCTCCTTGGCTTCGAACGGCAGGTTTGAAATGAACAAGCTGAATGTTGGTGCTGGCTTCGGAAACACAGGTGCCGGCTTCACCTTTTTGGGCTTAGCATAGTTCATCTTCAACACACGACCCTCATATTCCTGAAAAAAATTGGGCAGCACACCCCAACATTGTTAATTCAGAGAACTGCAGATAACTAACTGATAATGCAGACACCAAACCAGTGGAAAACAATGATCGTAATTGCGTTTAAAGCTCAAATAACCGAAGCCTGTTAGTTATCGAGTAATCAAAAGAGAGAAGGCTGGCTGAACTGAGTTATAAGGGTGCAACTAATACCCCATTCAACTGTTGATATGCCTGCAATGCGAATACTCAAATCATCCTTTGCAACTACTATTATATTGACACTTGGAAATCACAATTACATCCCCAAAATCCCAAGTAATCAATGACTACACCATCACGGATTCGCCACAAGAATCCATAGTTACACCAACTCTAACGTCTCACCGTTTCAGCAGTCATATTGATTGCAAATTTTGCCCAAGCCTAAAACATTGAAAATGTGAAGTTCTCAAAGTGAGTTAGCTAGATAAGATTGAGGAGTGAGCTTACATAAGACTCCAGATTCTCCATGGCAGCAAGAGCCTCCTCGGCAGAGCCCATAGAGACAAAGGCCAGCCCTCTATTCCTCCCCTTGCTATGCATTGAAAGCTTCAAAATACCAAGAACCCAAGTGGTATTTCTCCCACATCAGCAGAGCATAAGCATACAAACCCAATTCAGGAAAAGCTAAAGGAAATGGTTAAACGGAATTGCGAGGAAACAAACCTCAACATCGACAACAGTACCGAACTTCTCGAACAAAGCCCGAATGTCCTCTGGAGTAGAAGTCCACGGAATATTGGCAGCCAACACTCTGCTTTTACAGAATTCTTCTTCTTCTTCTACTACTACTACTTTCCCTTCCCCATCCACCACCGTCTCTTCTTCGGCGACAACTTCAACTGGGGAAGAATCGGCAACCGGGCCTTGAGTCGCGGTAGAGAAGAGCGGAGCTAGGCGGCTGATTCTGATGGTTCGAATCGTAAGGGCAAAAGAGTGAGGAAACGATTGAAGAGGGTAATAAGAAACAGATTGGCTTGTGGGGAAGTGGCTTTGAAGAGAACGAACTCTGTGAGTCTGCGTTGTGGGCGCCGGAGAAGAAGGGGAAATCCGCAGGGAAGCCATGAGATAGTTCCTCTATGGTTATCTACTCTACCCGCTCACTCGGCAATGAGTTTCAGTTTTCAAGTTCTTAACTTTGTGTGAGGATAAGGAAGCCGCGATATTTTCTTGAACCGAATGACATCGGTTCATTCATGAACTATGAAAATGTTATGAAAAAGTTCATTTTTTTTGCTTATGGTGCGAATTTTTACCGTGATAGGTTTTTATGAGTTATGACAAATTCATATTGAATTGCTGGTCCTCTTGGAGGCTATTTTCTAGTGTCTTAGTCTGGGATTCATGGAGGTTAGCTTTGAAGGACATGTTAAGGTGATAATTAGGCATGGCAACGGGGCGGATCGGGGCCGGGTACCCTGTATCCGTTCCCCGCCCACATTGGGCTTCGGGTTTACCCGTCCCCGACCCAAACGGGCTTCCGGGCCTAGTAATATACCCAGCCCCGTCACCGCTGGGTTTTCGGGTGCCCACGGGTCTAAAAAGCCCGTAACAATGCCAACCAAAACGACAAAGTACATTAAAAAAAATCCTGAAAATCTGACATCTCCTTTTATTATCAATAATAAACTTATAAAAGATCTCAAAAACTGAACCCTGAACCTGACATCAGTAACATTCGAAACTTGAAAGTTGAGATCAACAATCAAAATTCAAGCAAAGTATCAAATCATCCAAACTGAAATCAACAAAAGACAATCCATTCTCAGCAGTCTGATTGCCGAGTCTTATTCAAAGCAAGAACAACTAAGCTAATTAGCTAAACAAAGCCATAAGCCATCCTAACTATTGAGATCAATTCCAACAGCAGCCTTCCTTCGAGCAAGATGAAGCTTCAACTTGAAATTCTGCACCAACAGCAGCCTTCCTTCGATTGAAATACATCAATTGAAATTCACCAACAGCAGCCTTCCATAACCCATCAAGCCATTAGCCATCTTACGCAATAGCAGGTAGCGGCAGTCATCATTCATCAATTGAAATTCTGCACTAACATTCAAGTAAAAAGACTTAACTCCCTAAGCCTAACCAGTAACAGTGTAACACCAACAAACTCCATGTTCTTGCAACAAAAGAGAAGAAGTTTTAAAGTAATTAACCTGGCTGGACAGTAGAGAATGGTTCAGTCTTCATGGCCAAATGGTGATCTCAGGAACACCATTTCTGGACCTAAAAACCAGAAAGCAGAACACATTAGTTCAACCTCAAATCTCATTGAACAAAATTAGAAATGCACTAATTTTCTTACCCCCAGGTTCTTCCTCTTCTACAGTAGTATCTTCCACTGACAGTGCTGAGAAGACTCCCTCCAATGCCTCCACAGCAGCAGCCTCCGAATCTGCAGAAAAAAGTATACAAATATTAGTTACACTTAAACAAAATTAGTTGTACTAGAATTTAGAGATTTAGTTGCATGTTACCTCGTTGCATGTCTTCCATAATCCAACTTCGTGTGCACATCATTGATTCAACAGTGGAATAATGAAGCCTGCTCCGGTGAGGGTCTAACAACCTCCCACCAGAACTAAATGCACTTTCAGAAGCAACAGATGTAATTGGGATTGCCAGAAAGTCCCTTGCAATTGCTTGCAAGGTGGGATACTTGAGACCATTAAGTTTCCACCATAAGAGCAGATCAAAGTCTGCTGTCCGAGGAATAATATCCTCGGCATGATACATATCCAACTCAGTAGTAATCAAAGAACTCTTGCTCTTTTTCCTTTGACTTACAAAGAGCTCAAAGTCAAGTTCAGTAGCCGAGACAGATCCAAAACTAGCAGAAGAAGTTCCAGTTTCAGAACCAGAATTCTTCTCGGCTTTGGTTTGATAATCAAGAATCAAACCACAAATAATCTTCTTGATATTATCACCAACCAAGTCAGTTTCCATACTCCCAAACTTCCCAGCATAGTATTCAATCACATGGAGCTTATATCTAGGATCCAAAACAACTGAAACAGCAAGTACAAGATGGATATCATCCCAGTACTTATCAAACTTCTCAGACATTTGACTGGCCATTCCAAAAATCACAGGGTTGGGGTCAAGACCCCACTCATTCAGTTTCAATCTCAAGTCACAAATCTTTGGGAAGAAAAGATTGGCAGTAGGATACTTGGAACCAGAGAATAAATGAGTTATCTCAGAAAATATTTCCAGCTTATCAATCACAACAGATGCAAATTCCCAATGTGAACTAGAAGGAACAGATGTGTATTGACTGTCCCTCAAGCTCAAACGAAAGAAAACATCCTTATATTGAAGAGCAACAGAGAGCATATGGTATGTGGAATTCCATCTAGTTGGACAATCAAGTACCAGTTTTTTCTCAAATGTCAACTTTAGTTGCTTAACAACTTCAAAGAAGGTTTGAACCCTCTTAGGTGTAGAATTCCAGTAAACTACACTCTCCCTAATCAAATGTATAGCATCTTTGATTGCATCCAAACCATCCCTCACAATCAAGTTCAAAATATGAGCTGAACACCTCATATGAATCAGTTTACCATCAAGCAAGAGATCACTGCTCACAAGCTTATTTCGCATATGGAATATCATTGAATCATTGGTGGTACAGTTGTCCAGTGTGATTGAGGACAACTTACCATCAATGTTCCAATCAAGAAGTGAATCAAACAACCTATCAGCTAGCCTTTGACTAGTGTGAGGGGTTGGAACATACATAAACCTCAACATTATGTTACGAAGCTTCCAAGAGTTGTCAATAAAATGACCAGTTACTGCCATATACCCCATTTTCTGATTTGTGGCAGTCCACAAATCAGTAGTGACTGAAATTCTGCCCAAATTTCCATCAATCATTGTCTGATATTTAGACCTCTCAACCCCATACAGACCCAGAATATCCTTTTTCACTGTGTTTCTACTAGGGACAGCAAACTGAGGTTGAAGAGAACAGCAAAAACGTTTGAAACCCACATGATCAACAAGGCTAAGGGGGTACTCATGGACCAGAACCATAGAACAAAGTTCCTTCCTAGAAACCTCATAATTGTATTGAGAAGCAGAGAGTTGAGGATTTCCACCAGGTTGATAGTTGGGGCCAAGTATTTTTTGAGAACCATCATGTATCCTCTTCTGGATACATGTTCTGATATGGTTTCTCAGGTGTGAAGTTCCATTACTTGTTTCCCCACCAAGGGGTTTACGACAGTACTTACACCTAGCTTTCATTACCCCATTAATCCTAACTCTGTGGAAGTGAGGCCACACATTAGAGGTTAACTTACGTTGTGCTTCAAGTTCTTCCTCATTACCATTAATCGAATTATTTGGAACAGGAGGAGGTTGTTCAGGTTGGACTTGGACACCATTTTCAGGGACATGTTGATCAACATTCATAGCATTAGCAGTAGCACCTTCCATCTGAACATAATCAAGTTATATATCACTGATTAGAGTCATTAGACCTTTCATTTTACATTTTTCCTTACTTAAATGGACACCATTTTCAACCAGACAACATTTTTTCTTCTAACCAGCAAACAGGACACCATTTTCAACAATTTACAAGCCATAGTGGATTAGTGGTTACCATTAGCAAGCCATAGTGGTTACCATTACAGTTTATTATCATTAACAAGTCAAAGCAACACAACAAACACAATGGTTACTGCCTACTGGTTACGACTTAGGAGAACGAGATTACCTTGTCTTTCTGTTTTTCTGAGGACTGTCGAGTACCCAATGACAGTAGACTGCTCACTGATGATCACTATCACTCGCTCAGTTGCTCGTCAGAGACTTTGAGTTCAGTCCTTCAATACAGCTTCAAATGAGTCCAACCTGGCCAAAAAAGAGTGAACAACGAACAAAAAAAAAATTAGAACAGGAGACAAGCATGCATGTCTGTTTTAACACCAGTACACCACAAAGGCACAAACCCAGAAAAAGGAAGCGAGTTCAAGATCCTTACCCAGAAAAAGACTTGGACTCTGAGTTCAGTCCTTCAATACAGCTTCAAATGAGTCCAACCTGGCCAAAAAAGAGTGAACAACGAACAAAAAAAAAATTAGAACAGGAGACAAGCATGCATGTGTGTTTTAACACCAGTACACCACAAAGGCACAAACCCAGAAAAAGGAAGCGAGTTCAAGATCCTTACCCAGAAAAAGACTTGGACTCTTTCTGGATGCTTGTCGCAATCTCTCTGTCTCTACTCTCTGTGGACTGGGTGTTCTCAGTTCTGGGTAGAAATTTAGCGAAGGACGAAGGTCAGGATGGTGACTGGTGACCTCTGAAATCCCCCTATATATAGCAGTACGAGTGTCAAGAAGAGTCAGTAGATTGAGGATACAACGAAGATAATCGAAAGAAAAGAAAAAAAACTAGAATTGACTTATCTGTTATCGACGAACAATCAGGGATTTGAAGTCCAAACGACCAATTTTTGGCCTGTGCTCGACGAAATCGGCGTCGGATCGTTGCTCTTCCAGCCATGCAATTGGTCGAATGGAGGAATCGAAGATAGATCGTAGTGAAACTAGGAGAGATTCGAGGATTTGGAGAGGAGAAAAGGCAAAAAATCGCGATTATCTTGCGATTCGCCAGAGAAGAGGCAGAGAGAAAGAAGGAAACTAGGGTTTGGTGTTTTTGGTCTGCGATTTGCAAAATGAGGAATGAGGGGCGGCTGCTAGGGTTTCTCAACACAGAACACGAATATATATATGGAGGGCGAAACGACGTAGTTTTGGTGCACGGGTAACCCACCGGGCGGGTTACGGGGCGGATAGTGACCAAACCAACCCCACCCGAAAACCAGGGTTGACGGATCCCGGTTTCCCCGCCACCCGTTGACGGGCCTGTGCGACCAGTCCGTTTGGGCGGGTATCCGCTAACGGGCCCGGGCCTGCCATCCCTAGTGATAATCGACAAAAACTAACTAACCCAAATATGACTGATTGACCTGGATAGTTACTATATTAAATGTTGTCAAAAGCGAACCGGAGTATGACCCGATAATGTGAACGAATCGGTCTTTAGCAGTCCAACCGACATTAAACCGTTTGAAAACCGGTACTTAATAAACAATCAGTATAAATAGTGGGCACCTCTTAATCATGGTAAACCATGATTAAATTAGTAAATTACACTCTTAAATCTTAACACTTCCAAAACATGCAAGCGGGGAGCCGGGAGCGGCTACATGGATTGGGGATGACGACGGGAAGCACCGGGACGGGAAGTGATGATAGAGCGGAGGAGTTGCTACTAGAAGAGAGGACGGGGACTGAGACTGGTGATGGCGAGCCGGGAGCTGCTACGCTGACTGGGGATGGCGACGATGCCGACGGGAAGACAGGACGGGAAGTGTTGACGACGACAGGGTCTAGCGCTGCTCTTTTCCCTCTGTTCACGAAGAGTAGAAGACGAAAACTGAATTAGAGTTAGCCTTTCTTTCCCAGCCCCACGATTTTGCCTTTGGTTTTCAATTTTCGATTTTCTTTTTCAATTTTTTTTAAAATAGAACGGCCGGAAGGGGAAAACTGAGCGATCGGTTCGACCGACTCGAGTGGTTAACGGCCTTGGCTGCTCCATAAAACCGTAGCGGCTAAATGACTGGCCTGAGCCGGTTTCGCGACCGGGTGGCGGCTTTAACAGTCCAGTCGGCCTGCTCGGTTCGGTCTTAATAACACTGATATTAATATAATACATGTTAGGAAACATTTGGTACTATCAACTTTTTGGTGTTGATAACGACTTATTTATACATGTTTGGATCATTATTCCTTGCTCGTTTGACTTGGATTAGTAGTTCCTTGGCCTGTTTCGTGCTAGGTTGTGTTCCTTTTGTCATATTTCAGGTTCTAGAATGTGGATAGAGTTTAGAAGCGAGTTTCGGGACGATCAGATGTCAAAACGGACCAAGAAGTGATGTTAGAGCCTATGTCACGGCTTGGGAAGACATGTCATGATTTAAGCTATGAATTCTCAACCAAAACCATGAAATGACCAATTTCCCTAGTGAGATGAGCCTGTTTCATGGCTTGAGTCACGGTTTGCCCCTATGTCACGACCCATGACATCCCTAAGTTATATCATGGAAAGGGGTTGGCGAGTTAGTTGAAACAATGAGTTTTGGATGTCGCGAACTGATGTTGAATGACACAGTCATGACATAGGCCTGGACATGGTCTATGTCGCGAGTATAAGAGGATTTATGTGATTATGGAAGAGGAGAGCTAGGGTTTTCAGCTGAAACACCCAAGAGATGTTGCAATGAGTCGAAGAGCGATCTAGAGTGATATTGGAGAAAAATTGGAGGCTTGTGTCGCCATTGGATCTTGAAGAGCAAGGCTAAAAATGAAGATTGAAGGAATTAAGATTCATATTATATTCTCTCTTTATCTCTGGAGTAGTTTCCCTTCACTTAGGTTTTGAAGAACCCTAGTCATGTTTGCTTGATTGGGTGATTGTATGAGTACTCTATCTTGATATTTTTAAGTTCATATCCAATCTATACTTGATTTCATGATTTAATTATGTTGTAATCGAGATCATTAGTTCTACTTTGATTCTATGAGAGGAAATACCTTATTAGGTCAATAGAGCTCCGTGGATTGGAAGTAGGGGATCGAGAACACGAGATGAATCGATTCATTGCTATGTATTAAGTGATAACATTTCCCAGCATAGTGAGTTTAGTGTAGAACGCCTTGATTGGTTGTTTTAGAGAAGGATACGTCCCTCTTAGAAATCGACTCAAGAGTACCTTGATTAATTTGGTCGAGATTCAAAGCTTAAAGACTTTCCACATTATGAATGAATAGTGAATCAAGTTAGGGAATCATCGATCATTAATCCAGTTAGTGGCTAGGACAAACCAATATCTAAGTGAGTTCCCAACATGTAATTAGTCTAACCTTATTTTAGTTTGGTATCGTAGTTATAGTCTTTTTTACTCTACGTATGATTTGGCTAGATGATAAACCGAAGCTGAGTAATAGTAAATCTAGAGACCCATGAATTTTATTTTTTTATTATCTGTGCCACCATAATGAGATATTGTCTTTGTTCACTAGGCATTGTCAGAGGTGTAGTTACACCAAGTCAAGTTTTTTGCGTCGTTGTCGGGACGATCTAAGTTATTAGGAAAGACATAAGTTTATTAATTTAGTTTTTCTTTCTTTTGTTTGTTTTCTTTTTTCACCCTTTCTTTTCACTTGAGTGGTTTTATTTTCGATTGTGCAGGTTTGAATCATGAATTCTCCAACATGTGAGGGTATTGACCAACATTAGATTGGTGTCACTCCCAGGCTTCATGGGATAACCAGTACAAAGAAGGCTACAAATTAGAGTTCCAGGAGCAACCACTCTTCCATAATGCACAACCAGCGCCTTGGGCATTTCATGAACCTCCTCCTTATCGAGAAGATCTCTCTTTACAACCAACATGTGCATAAGATTTCGACCTATCCATGGTGGACTTCTTGGGACTGTATGCAGAGCTATGCTACACTCCACAACCAGATACGAAGAGCCAATTAAAGCTACTTGTAGAAAAATTTTGTGCTTAATAGTGAAAGAGCATGCTCCAAATTGACCTTTCAATCCACCACCCCTCTTGACTAATCTTTTCTTCGTGAAATGGAGATGGATCTCCGACGCTTAGAGGAGCACATAGAAGTTATTGAGCAAGCTTGTGCACGATTCGTTCATGATCGACTTTTAGCTAATGCAAAAGAGGAGAATTATGAGGGGGCAAACCACGAGGACATTGTGGAGTATACATAAGTTCTCATGGAAAACGCCCATGATGATCATTGATCCGACATATCCTGTAGTGGCAGACCACACATTTTCCTATTTCACATTGAGCTTTGAAGAGACAGACACGAGTGAGGATATTCAAGTTGATCTTATCAAAGACATTGATTGGCAATTTGCTATGCGTCATGTGCTTCAGGAGGAAGAAAGATAAAGGGTGAGAAGAGAAGTTGTAGAGGAGGAAGGAAGCAATAAAAAGGAAGCTCTTGATTTTTCCCAAGGGGAGGAGCTTATTGTTGAAGAAGCAATTAAGGTCCAAGTAGGGGATGAGGCTGAGGTGGTTGAGGCTTCTAGAAGGCCAGAGTCATATCAGAGCTCCCCACATGACCTTGAGGAGCCTATAGAAAAGTACCCTTTTGCAGTCTCTCTTTGTTAGATCAAAACCACACTATCATTGATCCTAGGGGTATACACGAGTCGGGTGGTTCGGGTTTAGCTAATTTAATCACCCGACCCATGCACTACCGTTTGGGAAATATTAAACTCAAACCACGCAAAAAAATTAAAACCCTACGATTTCTTTCTAATTAGGTTGGGCCGGGTTGGCGATATTTTCAAGTAAAAAACCAAGCCAACACAAAATATGTAATTATTCTACACCATAAAAATATTTTATAACTAATTAAAACTTTGAACGAATAAACCGAGGTGAAAGAATATCAAAATTCACAAATGTTGTTTAAAATTTAATAAAATGTGATTTACTTCAACATATGTCTAGTTTTTTTCATGATATTTGTTGAAATAGGCTAAAATGTTATAAACGAACGCATCCATAATATGTTATTCTATTAAAATTGCACACAAGAAAAAGAATTACGTGAATCATAGAAATCTATGACTAAACTTTAAGCCGAAGAATGCATTAGATTAGAAAGACCATGAGAGAAAAAACATGGCGAAATATCTTAATTTTCTCATAAGTATGGCTATATATGACATAAATATTTTTTTGGATACGAACTCATATCAATAGTTGGAACACGGGTTAGGTCGGGTTCTACGAGTTGTGTAATCCAAAATCCAAACCCAACCCAAAAGAGACGGGTTGTACAAAAGAAACCCTCGCCCAACCCAAAACCTTAATTTTAGCGATAAATACGGGTGGATTGAGTGGGGTTGGACGGGTGGTTCAGTTTGCGGGGTGTTTGTTCACCCCTAATTGATCCCTCTTGGTGGTTAATCTATGTTCTCCTACATGGTATGATGGGTCAATCATAAGAAACATATATTGGCATCACAAACACAAGAATTGTGAGATTTGATTAACTGAATAAAGTGGATTGGTGGGTTGAATGTGCTAAAAGTGGGTTGGCTGTGTATCCCGACCCAACTCTACCCGTAGGGGCCAGGTAAGGTCAAAGGAGAATAGGGCCGGGCTGAACCAGGTTGGATATTGTTTTATAGAGCCGGGTATTTTAGGGCAGTGACAGGACCAGGACTGCATTTAGTCCAGATTCACCCCTAAATAAAGGTCATGGAGCTAGGCAGTCATTCCGACTCTGGCTAAGAAATCTTGACCAATATCATTATGAAACATATATTGGCAGCACAAACACGATTCTGTGAAGAACTAAAAGAGATTTTGATTAACTGAAGAATCCATATAGACATTACTACATTCATACATGAGCAGCCACTGTTTCTTTTTTTTTTCCCCCCCACAAGAAATAGTTTCTTCTTGTATTTCTTCCCTTCAGTTAAAATTTCCATTTAGAACAACTTCCGTTCAGTCAAGTCACTCTAAAACCAAAATCAAAATTACCCATTTGGTAATCTTCTTCTTCTTCTTCTATGAGTTAGCAGCCGATTTCAAATGAGTCAGGAACTGCCCCTCAATGGTGACTTCTTGCGCATCTGAACATCCGGAGAGTTTTGACGCAAGGGCGAAAGTGGCTGCCTAAGTGGATCCAACTCCTGCACAAAATCAATCTTCCCTCCAACTGATGAACCGATCCTCATGGGACTCGATTTTCGCTTGCTCCTCTGCAACCACAGAAGTTACAATAGACAACAATTAGAAAAGCTTGGAGACTATGAACAAATTACTAACGGCCATGTGACACGATACACATATTGATTACAACAGAATCCTCAGTAATTAAGACTCGAGGCACCCACCAATGAAATGGGACATATAATCATGGTATGTTTCCTTATCTTAAACAGATGACCATATGTTCGCATCTCGTCAAATCCACAAGATCAAGCAAAATTTAGGAATCTAAAAAACATCAATAAGGAAAGAATATAAATGCACCTACTCTATAAAATGGAAAACAATGCTAGCAAAGGAGGCAAGTCCTAAGGTGTCTAAGTGCCCAAAGCCCTTCTCCCAGGACAGGGATGGTCGTGCAGCTGCTACCTTAGGTCGTTCACATTCTTTTACAACTTAAATAATCATATCAGTCTAGCAAATCCAGTTCTTCATCTTATTCTGTGATTGTTATTTATACACTTTACACTCTACAGGAGTATTGGAAGATGGGTAATAAAAACTACCATAGCCAATCCAGTGTATATGCACTTTGTGTTTACTGGAACGTTTTGATGAAAGTGTGCACAGGTCAAGTCAACTGTGGGTAGACAGACACATGGATAATGGCATAGAACACAAAGGAAATCACACTGATGTGCACAAACAAGTAAGCCAAGGCACAAGTCAAATTTCTTCTCCCTCTTCTATTTTTTAGTACCTTGGCAGATGCACTACTCGATTGCTTTTCGGCAGACGAATCAAGGTTACTTGCTCTGCGCAGTTGTTTCACTAGCTTTCTGTTCTCCTCGTTCAATATTTTGTTCTCTTGGAACAATAATTCCACCTACATCCATCAACAATTTTTCATTAAAACCACCAGCCCATGTTCATTGAAGAACTTCAAGCCCAAGATGAAAACAGTTTACTGTTTCTTATCTCACCTCCTCTTCAGCTCTAGCAAGGTTGATCCCAAGATGTTCTTTTTCATTCTCAAGTATACTCACTTTTGAAGCTAGTGACAAAACCTTTTGTGTTGATGGCTTCAAGCTGTCATGGAGAAGACTAAAGTAAGAAGTATGTAGGATTGGTCGAGTAGTGACCTTCTATTGTTATATAGACTAAAACAACATGATCCAGCAAGAAAAGGATGACAAACAAAAGAGAGGCTCACTACCTGCTCCATATCTTCAGCAACTTTCGACATGACTCCTGCTCCTTATTCGCCGCGAGAAAAGCACGACCAGGATCAATTGCATCTTCTCCAGTTAGTGTTGTTAGGATAGAGTCAAGGTTCTGCCCTTCCAAATCTGTAATCTCCGCTGACAAACCGTCCGACTTGATCGGTAATGCCAGCAGAAAACTAAATCAGTTTCTTCCCCAAATGAGACATTAGGTGAAAAGACGAGCGTGAGAATGATGGAAAGCAGATAATATAAGACCAGTCCATAGCTATCACATAACACAGCGACTACCCAAAACGTGCAATTTCTAGGAGCCCATGTTCTCTCTAAAGAATCAAATATCGCTAAAGAACTACATATAGAAAATCGAAACCATCTTCTAAGGTGCAGAACCCTGCTAACTCATGAACTCTGAACCAATTTCGGCCATCAAAAGCACTCTTTTGCTACTGATGCTAACACTGAACCTAGGGGAATCATGCTAATTCAACAAATCTATTTCAGAACTCAAGTTGATCTAACATCATAAACCGCTCTCAGTTAACATTCAAGAGTTGATTCAAGTAAACAAACAATGCCCTAGCAAGTTCCTCATGAGAGATTGAAATTAACATTTTTTCCAGTTAAAAAATCAGGAACAATACCCCACGGCTCTCGTACTGATGCTTGTAAAACTTCAGTTCCTCTGACAAATTCCCTAGCGCCACTTCCAACTCGTGAACCCTAGTTTCAGCATCTTTGGCCCTCTCATCCGCCTCATTCCCAAACTCCATCAGAGCCTCCCTGTCATTGTCATAGAGCGTGCACTCCCTTTCCCACTTTTTACACTGCGCCACCAAATTGGAGCACTCCGCTGCCAATTTCTGATTCTCCTCCACGAACTTCTTCAACGCCACTGCGTTCATAGTGGCCTCCGCCTGACCTCCAAAACCGTAAGAAAAACGAAGTGGAATCAAACACAAATTCACATCAACAGTCTGAATGGAGGGAAACAGATCCGAGGGAAAACAGTGGAATCAGATCTAAAACCTTAGCGCGATCAAGGAGTTGCTCTTTCTCGCGGAGCTTCTCGTCGAGAACAAGGCATTGGTCGCGGATGCGGCGATGGGCATCCTCGGAAGCTCGAAGCTTTAGCCGGAGAGTTTGCGTCGAGACTGGGAGGCCGAAGGAATCATCGATCGTTTCTCTCAAGTACTCGTCCAGTTCTTGCGGAATCTCCATGTGAGATGGTTCGACTGAATCCGATGAAGACGGATCGGGGGAGAAAGAAAGGAACCCTAGATTGGGATCGGAAACGGTTTACGATTTGGATTGAAACAAGAAGAAGACGGGAAGATCAAGAAGTCAAGGGGGGGTTTGGGAGTGAGATTCAGATTTCGCAGCGAATTAGCGGGGAATGAATTTGGGTGGGCTAGGGTTTGGGGGGAATTTCGATGGCTTGGCTTCTCGTATTTGCAGTCAGTGCTGGGAAGTGGCTGGATATGGGAACTTGAATTCCCAGTTCAAACTGAGGAATGGAGAAGAGAGAGAAAGGAAGAGAAATTAGCCGTTAGAGCGGGTTTTCAAGGGACTAATCAGTAATTACAGGTAAAGCCGCGATGCTCGTTCGCAGGCTCGCTCTAACCCGGAAGTGAATGTGGGCCGAAAAGCCTTGACATCGGATCTGCTAACTTAAATTGAAGCCCATCGGTGGTACGAATGTTTTTTTATGAATGGATTTTTCTTATCTAGCGTTCATTCCTAATAAAATGGGTTATAGATTTGAAAAAAAAAAAAAAAAAGAGTCTAGAGATGGACAGGATCATAAGAAGGAAAATGTTGGGGGTGTTACTAAATACTCTGCATACAGACTAAGTAGCAAGGCGGACAATCGGCGATGCACGACGTTCGATGCCCGCTATAAGTATATAAGGGCTTGAAACCCTCCAAGGAAAAGGACCTCTTCTTCTCCTCTCTCACTTTCCACTTTGGTTATCTCTCTAAACTTTCTCTCTCTACATTATTCTCTTAGCTCACCTTAAACATGAACTAACTTGATCGTTGGAGCTTAATCCGGGGGCATCCCCGACCTTCCACAAATTCTTCCCTCCCGAGGAGATCTGACGAGCATATTGCGAGTCAAGCCCCACACCAACAAATCATTGTTCGAACTGGAGCCAGACGGTACAAACAGAAAACTGTGAAAACTCAAAAGTAAATCATCGCACATTTATTGCCCTCGTGGTAACAATGAGAAATTGTCACTTCCTAGTTATGGTCGGGTAATTCCAGGAAGCGATGTATGATGGCGTCATGTTGATGATACGACATCCCCTACTTTAGAGAAGTTGTAGTGCAAATCTAGAATCAAGTTCCACTCCAACCGATATCTCATGTCAGCTGAAGACCTTTGACAGCCCCTCGATTATGCTCGGGTGATGGATCAGACACCTAAGTCCAAAGTGAATGTTGCAAAAACCCAACCCCTTATGAGTTTTTTGTTGTGTTTTATATCTCGAGACACTTTCTTGTAATGGAATGTTCTCCTAATCCAACTAGCATTCTTCACTCCACATCTACTAATTAACTTCATTCCACCTTCTCCCTGTTTCATTTTCATTGATGGCAATGTTGTTTTTAAGTGTGAGAGTGTATACTTGTGAAAGGTTGTGTCTTATGGTCTGGATGATAGAGAGTGATTTGAGCTTAGATGGGTATCAAAATTTCTAAAAAATATGAGGGCTCTCATCACGATTATATCTTCTTTCTTTGAATGCACAGATGCATTATCATAGTGGGCACTTTTGATTTCGTGTCTGCGTGGGTTTTAGTAGATGAGAGCTCATATTTGCAAGACAGACACAACTAAGGAGGGAGAAAACACATTTTGACGACCCTAGAGAGAGCGATCTTGGAGAGTTTTTGAGGAGAATTACACCAAATTCATCTATTGTAAGCTCAAGAATCAAGAAAAGGAGTGAAGATTGAAGAGGAGTGAAGATCCAAGAAACAATGTTCATCTTTCTTTCTTTGTTTATAAGCTCTCTTTCCCTATGATCTAAGCCTTTCCCTTCACTTGTGTTTATGGAACTCTAGCTAAATGTAGTTGGCTGATTGATTGCTTGCGAACCTATACTGATATTGCTTATATTTCTATATCAAATCTATATTTTATTGAGTTTCCTAATCTTTGCCCAAGTTTGGTAGATTGTGTTTTGACATAGTAGAGAAATTGAATTGGGTTGATTGAGGAACACACATATATTGAAAGGCATTGAGTAATTGCATGAAAATGTGTTATTTGATTCCTTATGTATTGGGTGTAAGCCCTCTAGTGGGAATCTAGGTCTTAAAACCTTGTTTGGTTACTTTGATTGAAGAACGGTATCTCTTGACTAACTTTCAAGAAGTTCACGAATGCATTAGTGTTGATCCAAGGTTAATAAAGGATTCCCCGCATTATCTGAGTAAATATGAAAAGTCTAGGGTTGCACACTTGCACCATTTGTCATTTGATTCAAAAATAGGGGGAATTAATTCCCAGGTAAGTCTTTTCACTTTAGAGTCCAATAAATTGCATTCTCTTACCTTAGAGACTCATTGCATTGTTACTTTCGTAGTGTAGAAGTAATTGAATTTGTAACTCAATTTGGATAGATAATATTCTGAAATTTAGTACTAATAAACCTAGAGACTCGAGGAATACAATAATTTATAATTTGTAGCCATTATACTACGAACACGGCTTAATGTCCAATATGGACCATCCGGGCGTGCGACTTATCATTAACTTACTTGTCTTCGTTAGGAGTGTTAGTTCGCAACGATTAGATGGGTAGAGGAAGAGTGATACTAGGGAAAAGTAGGATAAAGGAGGTGGGAACAAGTTCCCACACCCTGATTGGACAACAACTGTAAGGCATTCATGATGGAGAGACAACAGAAAAGGACGACGAAAGGTTATCGTATGAAAGTTGGCTTTTTCTGCGTGCGATTAATTAACAGAAAGAATGAGATTAAATGGAGAGATGACAAAGAGTGACATTGAAGCGAAAGGTGTGCAAAAGGATGTCATTTCTGTGTATGATTCAAGAACATAGAGGAGGGAGAAGAAGATGCAACTCTGCTGATTGAGGTGAGATGAAAAACGAATAGAGCAAAAGACGAGAGATACAGACGAAAAACAAAGCATCAAGTACTTCCCCAAACATGCACCCAAAGTTTGTGAAAAGATAACTAAAAGGCTAGAAATCAGAACAAACACCCAAAATTTGTAAAATCTCACCAAAAAAGTTGGACGGGATGGGACTATGAGGAATAGTAGCCTGTAGAGATGTTCTTTTAAAGTTTACTTAATAATAATAAATATTACTGGAAGTGCTACTCCTGGCTAGCTAGGTGGAGTGGGTACAACAAGATTGTAAAACCGTTTTAAGTCATTGAGTCGGTTAAGTAAGGGATTTAAGTTTTAATGGTCTGATTGGAGTCCAGGCAGTTTGGGCCATTTTAGAAGTTTTCTAAATATATATACAAATAAGATTGTAAATAAAGATTTAATGACTGAAATGAAATTTATCTTACATGTTTCTATTAAAAAGTTATTTTCAGAAAAATAAATCCCTCTAACCTCCATGACCCACCCACCATCTCCATCTTCCTCTCTTCCCCTTCTCTTCTTCTCCCTCTTTAACGGTCGGATTGAGGGACTTTCTAGAGACTATTTTGAAGCCCAAATCAGATCAGACCAGGTACAACGGAGAGTTCGATAGAGGTTTAACAACATTGGGGTACAACATACAAGCAAACAAAAAAGACTTGTAGTTTTATATACTAATAACTAATAGTTCCGCAGAATGAACAAGAATGTATTACATCTCAGCTTTCACTTCTTCTGGAACCACCTCAGTTGTAGTGGAAGTGGGTTTGTTGGCGATCGTCGACTCCGCAAATTCTTCTACCTTATCTCCCACTTCTTCCACCTGCATCAATACAAAACGCATCCATCCAGTTTAATCAATTTGGCCACCACCACAATACACATTAACTTGAGTCATTAATATTCGTAACCAATAATATCCACTGGCCTAGAAAAGTGGACAATATTTCTAATCAACTAATTACTGTCAGCCAGCCAGACCAATTAAAGTTGCTTTCGTTGAAGTTTCTTTGGGTAAATCGTAGGTGTTAGACCATTCCAATCCATTGAGCAAGCATGGAAACTTGCCAACTCTTTTGTTAAATTCACATCAACTAATTATACCTATCTATGCAACCAGGGCTAACCTAACTGATGAGTCGGCACACTTCCCATTATAAGGTCGTGTGTACGATTTCTAGTAGCCGGCACTTCCCCTTCCCCTTCTAGGAGAAAAAAATTATCATGAAAAGCGGGCTAGTGTTAGAACTTAGAATAGTATTAGGGAGCTAGGGGTTTACCTTATCAAGAAGATCGGCGGTATATTCAGCAACCTTTTCGGTCTGATCTGCCAAATTCTCCACATACTCGAGTGCGTCTTTGAGAGCACCCGCCGGAAGGCTGTTCCCAATATCGTCGACCACCTCCTCCACCTTCTCCGCCACGTCGTCCACCATGTCCGCCACTCCCTGTGCCGTGTCCACCGCCGCATCAAACTTATCTGCCACCAACATCACCAAATTAAGACTTGAATAATACTTATTAACTACTGGCTCATTGATTAACTACTGGCAATTATTAATTAGTAATGAATATAATTACCGAATAACTTTCCCAGGGGGCCCAACTTGCCGGTTACCAATGGTATAACGAAACTCGCCACCGCACCTAGAAGCCATAGTTGCCTGCGACAAACTTAATGAATATTGTTAATTATACATGAAAACGAATATGTGTAATAATAAAAAAAGATCGATCTATGAAAATAATAAGTAATTACCATTGGGAATCGTGAAGAAGATCAAAGGGGAGGGAGATCCCAGCCGCGGGGAGAGCAACGACGGCGTCTGTTCCCGCCACGGGGTCAACGCCGGCACTCCGGACAACAACGCGTGAAGAGAGGAGTGAGCGTTTCACCGACGAGGAGGAAGTGATCAGCTGGCTCTTGGAGAGATGGCCTAGTGAAGAAAAACCGCCGGATCTGGGCCTGCCGCCGGAGTAGTTCTCCTTCTCCACATGATGATGATCATCATGAAGCCCGGCGACGGCAACAACAAATGGAGTCCTGATCCTACTTGCTGTTGCTGGCAACATGTTTCCTTCTTCTTCCTTCTTTTTCTTTATGTGTTGGTTGGTTCAATTGGTAGGGTTGGGTTTTTTTGAGTAGTTGGAACTTGGAAGTGGGAACTCCACCACCACTAGCCACTATTTAAGGTGGCAAGCATGATTGAGATGATAAGCAGAAAACTATGGTGTAATTATTAATTATAATAAAAAATTAATTGATAATCACACCCATTCCTAGTACTATGTTATATGTTTTATTAGGTACAAAGAATAAAGGGGAGGCGGTCAATTTGGATTTCTGCACGTTTTTGTTTTTGTTTTGACAACACTGGATTTCTGCACGTGTTTCTCGATCGGTCTCCGTTAAACAAAAAGAAATGACGCGGGATTTGCATTGCATGCGCAGCTGCCCAGAAGTTGAATTAGTCAATAATAATTTAAGGCCCAAGTCCAACCAACCACCGATCCGCAACCAGAACCAACAACCCAGCTTTCAACCTGTTAGCAAGGTTAGGTATCAATTATTGGACCTTGCCAAAAAGCCGGAAAATGAGAATCACACGGGATGGGATTAGGTGCTAACCCTTATAGGGATTAATACCGTGATAACTAGTAAAAAACGCTACTAAAAATAATGAAATCACTACGGATTATTATAAAATCAATACAACATCTAAACTAAATCACTACTAATTCAAACTAGTAATAGTTTTTCCCTTGGTTAGGACGGTGCTAACTATTGTACAATTAGCACCGTAACCGCACTCAATGAACACCTCTCCCAACACCGACACAGGCTACTCTCCAGATTTTTATTATTGGGACATGCAAGCACTTCATGTCAATAAATTTATGTCGCTATTCAACAAGTTTTTTTTTTTTTTTACAAATTATAGTTTATATCGAGCCTAATTTTTAGAAATGTTTTTGTTCTATAAAATTGAAGTTGGATCAAACATTTTTTTAACCCAATTTTTACGAAAAAGTAAAAAAAATATTCTTTTTGTAACATAAAAATAGAAACTCCAAAATCAAACTTCTGCCAACACCTCTACACAATAAATAAAAGCCAAATGAGAAAACTTGAAGTTTCATTTCTAATTTCCTGCATCTGGAGCGAAAGTAGGAGGTATAGATTCGTCTTTACAGTCATTTATTATTTTCTTATTTACAGAAAAAATACATCGGTAATGAGATTTGAACCATGATCTCTTCAAACAAAGATAAGAAACATAACCAGTTGCAGTAAACATTTATGTGATCTTTTCAATTACAAATATACAAGAAGGTTAAATATGAAAAATCATAGGACATTTCCACAAAAGTTAGCAAGCGAAATAATCATTGATTCAAATATTGCATATCGAATTGCACTCTTGAATGTGTAGAAGCGATGTAGAATTCTTAACATAGACTTAATTGTTATAACTACCATAAAGTAACAATATTTTTAAACATAAAACTTTTGAGTGAATATGGGCACATGTGTCTTTATAGAGAGGTAAATATGGAAAGATTGAGTGATGTTGGTTTGCCGAACGCGGATGGAAAAGATACTACTAATGTAAACGGGCACAAATAGTGCCCTAACCCACTAAATGCTCAACAATCACCGTCTCTCCAAACTTTCCATTAGACTCAACAACCGGCTAATCTCCTCTACCTCTATTGTTACACCAGAGCAATTTTTGGAGGGGTAAATATGGACATATTGAACGTTGTTGGTTTGCCCAATGCAGATGAAAAAGACGCTACTAATGTAAACGGACCCAGATAGTGTATGACCCACTAAACGCTCAACCATCTGGGTTACTTTCGCTACACCTAATATAATAGTGAAATGGAAAAAAGTGATTCCCCCATTACAAAATCCTTGCATCCATAGCAAAAGTAGGAAGGGTAGATTCGTCTTCACAGTCATTTATTATTTTCTTATTTAAGGAAAAATACATAAGTGATGGGATTTAAATTGTGATCTCTTTGAGAAAATACAAGAAACATAACCAGTTACACTAAACAAATTTGTTTAAACATTTTAAATTAAAAATATACAAGAAGTTTAAATTTGAAAAATCATAGGAATTTTCCATCACAGTTAGCTAAACTACTAACTCTCCCCTAAATGTATTTTTGGCATCTGATACTTCTATTTTCATACTTTGATCATTTTAATTCGAGTTAATAATTAATTCTATTTCTGTTTGTCTTATGAAAGGAGAATAATTTTAAAATCACAAGCCTTATATCATTGGTGCAAATAATGCACATCGAATTGCAGTATTGAATGTGTAGAAGCGATGCAGAATTCTTGACATAGATAATATAACTATCATAAAGCAACAATATTTTTGAACATAGAAGTTTTGAGTGAATATGTGGCACATGTGTCTTTAATAGAGAGGTAAATATGGAAAGGTTGAGAGATATCCAACGAGATGATATCCAAGAAATTCTTATATAAAACTTGTTGATATTCCTTGAATCGGACTATCAGACGCTACGACTGGAAGTTACGGGGGTCTCGCTGTTTGGGCTCAATGTTGTTTGGGTTCGTGTTATGGTTCTGCTGGTCTATAACTACTTTTGTTTTACCAGATTGGATTACGGTTAGACTTTGGAGAAGTACTATAAATACTTCTCATACTCCTCTGTAATCTATATCTCTTTTTCAGGGTGAAAGTCACAAGTCAAGTCTACGCTGTCAGATGAAAGCAGTGCACTGAACGCCGTAAATTAGGTGACATCCTCTGAAACTTCATTGCGGCTATGGCAGGAAGACTAACAACACTATTGATATGATCAAAGTAATGCAGCCAGCAATTCAATCGAGATATTGTTTTTGGAAAACATAGTTTCAAACCAAAAACTGGGACTAGGTTTGGGATGGTAGATTGAATGTGCAACTTCAACACAAAATTGAGAAGAGGCTCGATCAATAGAAAGGGTAGAAGCTCGACCACAATCAAAATGGATGCTTGATTGATACAGAGACAAACTCAGGCAATTGGAATCCACCAATTACTACGAGCAATTCACGAGCCAAAACTCAATGAACAAAAGGGTAGAAGTTGATTGATAAAACATGTATCTTACAACTCGGCTTCAAGGCCTTTAAATAGACTTCGAACATGATTTCTACTACTAAACTAACAAAGGAAAACAAAGTTAACTAAAACACTAAAATCCCAAGCACAACAGGTAAGGAAATCGACACCCAAACTGTTTCTTCCAAAATAAGCAAACTGACTTCCAGCGCAAGTAACCAAAACAGTCTTCATCCCAACTTCGAGCCTCTCGTATGATGTTCTCCAAGCTCAGTTGACCTCAACCAATTCCTTCATGATTTTTAACTAGTTTTGGGCTTTCACATCCATCTCCCAACTGAAATCGAATGTCCCTCAATATGAACGAATAACTCCTCTCCCTTTCTGCTACTGCTACCAGAAAAGTCGTGGTTGAGGCGGGGTGGTAGACGGCGGAGAGTAGGGCTGGAAGTTTGGTACCGGTATTTGGGATATACCGAATACCGTACCGAATTTGTCTATATTTGGTATCACCGAATACACGTATTATTACTTGGGATTGAGATTGGGATTGAATTTCAATTGTTATTCGGTATTAAGGATTACGGGATTGGGATTGATATATACCGAAATACCGATCAATACCGAAATATAAGCTAGTGTGTATTTTATCCTCTCAACTACACTCTCTCATTCACTACTACACGACCCTCAACCACCAAGAGTGTAATCATTTCATAACTATTAATAGTCGGTATTACTTTTTTTTAAACTTAATTATCAATATTTTAGTAGGATAATAACATTGTGGGTGTTATCGGTTATCACGTTATCTCCTCGTCGTCACTCTCCAAATTACCAACCGTAGAAAGAGACATCACATGAAGAGAATTGCAATACGTAAATACAAAAAGGCACGAACATGAATCCAAATACTGAAATTGGGGCATGTCTTGGGACATTCTTAAATAACGTACAATGAGTTCAATTGCCATCTCCGTTCTCCTCACACAATTAATTTGTCTGCGTCCTACTGTCACTGACCGATTTTGGCTCTATTATTATGCATAAAAATACAATATTTAACAACCGCAACGTTTTAGTACCCACTGAATTATTTAATTATTTTTGCCCCCCTGCGGCTGCAGCCTTCCTCCTCACTTATCCAACCTTCTCCTTTCAGCCCTACAAACAACTTCATTTTCCCCAATAGCAGTACTAAATTGGTGAGTCACCGGCCGGACGACCAAAGAAATTGCACGATCATGTTGACGGTAAAGACATCGCCTGTATTTTCTGTGACGATACAACACGTGGGCGACGCCGCCGTCGGCAGCAGCAGGATCAATAACACCGATCAGATGATGACAATTCCTGCTCGCCGGCTGCAACTCCTTCCGTCGTCCAGCGCACAACTACTTCTCCATCGGCATGCACGTACCTCGTCAAACAAGTGAGGCATTTTTTTTTTGATCATGGGATTCTGTATTACTTTTTTTACTTAACAATTAGTACAGTTAATTACCGATTAATTATGTTTTGTTCATATCATTAATTAGGGGCAAGAACGTGGTTGCTTACAGTAACGGTGAATCAGGAGGAGGAGCTGCTGTTCCTTCCCCCACTCCTTCAGGTTCATCCGGTGGTTTTGACTGGTACATCATAATTAATTTAGATAAACAGGTATTTAGTTTCTAATCTAAATTAGGGGTGTTGGGCTAAATGTGTGTATCTGCAGGAAAGGGTGGCTTGTTGGGGTGATAATGAGCGTCCTGCTGCCCTTCTGGCGTGGCCAATTATGGTCACTCAAAAAGATACAAGGTAATTAATTAAGTTGACCGAGCTATATATATATATAGTTGGAATTTGATTGAAATTAGATTCTAATTTCGTATATATGCATATTGGTGATGGTCGGCGGGCGGTGTGGCAGTTAATGTGGAATCTGTGCTGGAGAGGATGGAAGAGGTGGCGGAGACGGTGGAGGAGGTGGCGGAGAAAGTGGAGGAAGTGGCGGACGAGATCGGAGACAACCTGCCGGAAGGGGAGTTGAAGGAGATGCTGGAAAAAGTGGAGGAGGCTGCCGGGAAAGCTGCAAAGGCCGCCGACATAGCTCAACAAGTCCTTGAAACGGTCAGATTCGATACTCATGTTCTCTTTGATTCGATTACGCAAGGTTATACTTTTGACTATTCCCGTCAAAAGGCATCGTACTAATAAGTCTGGTGGACATCTCTTACACTACATTACCAATTTTCCCAGCTGTAATTAACCACGTGAACCCTAACGTTTTATATGTGATAATTTGTCTCTTTTTGATCAAATTCGGAACAAAATAATAACTAATGAATGCAGGTACAAGAAATGGAGGATCAAGTGGAATCTTACATCGATAAAGCTGCTGCCAAGAATAGACAAAAGAAGGTTAATTAAGCTGCGATAAACTCCCAATGTGTACAGTTATCACAATATTCATCGGCCCATGATCAAAATGATAGGCGAAAGGTTTTCGGTTTTTCCTGTCGAGCACTACTATTATGCTAGATAGTATTGGTGCTTTAATGTACAATTTGAAGTTGTATCATAACATTAAATGTATAAGTTTAGGTTGTACAATAAAGGAATTTGTATCATTATGTTATGGTACAACTTTACAACTTGAAGTTGTACCATCACATCAATGTACAAGTTTAAGTTGTACCATAAAAGAATTTGTACAAAAAGTATAGGTACAATCTGAAGTTGTACCATAACGTTAAAGGTACAATTTCAAGTTGTACCATAAAGACAAAAACCTATAGCACCAATACTATATAGCATTGTAAAATTCCTCTTTCCTGTGAGGTGTAGCTTAGCGTAATAATGAAAGATGGTATATCGTACGATATTTTTATATTTAATAAGTGCAACTGCAATCAATGTTAAAGGTTACCCATAATTAAAAAGGGGAAAAAATTTATGCAATTTGAGATTTTTTTCTCCATCGGATATTTTAATAAATATTGTGAATGTAAATAGCTTTGATAGCTAGCTAAAGTCTAAAGAGGTCTTTAATCTCATATTGATGACAAGAAGTGAAGATGTTTTTATAAATATTTTTCTCTCTCTTAAAGGTGTAATATATGTCGTGGTTCATTTTTGTGGAACGAGAAGAACATAAGCTAACTCCAAACTATACAAGCATGTGCTATCAGTTTGATGGAGCGAGTTGGTCGAGTTCGAGACTAGTTTTATTTTAATATAATTTAATCTAATAAATTATCTTGAATGAAAAGGATATAATTATTATCGTATCAAGTGTGTTTTCTTAATAGCACTAATTAATGAAACAAAATATGCTCTGCCTTTGCCCTGATAAAAAAAAGAGCTACATAAGCAAATACGAAATTCAGAAAAAATAAATTTAGAGTTGACCACAATTAAATAAGTTGACCACAATTGATGAAGGGAAAGAGGCACAGGAGTACGCTGGTTTTTAATAAAAATTGGAGAAAGAGAGAATAGAGAGTCACATGTACAATTAAATGGGGAAAGAAAAATCTACCTCCACAAAATCCACCTCACAAACCACAAAATCCTCTTGACTAGTAGTTGTCCTCACAAAAGGAGGACCGGAAAGCATTTGCCCTTATAAAAAGGAAGAGCTACCTAAGTACATACGAAATTAAGCAAAAATAAATATAGATTGTAAAGTGTTTTTCATTGATCTCCCTTTTTTCGTACCGGCAAGGAGAATTGAGAATGAATACTTTATCTTTGACGCAACAAGTTGATAGTTTGTTGTGCAATTATGATGCAGTGCCATGAACGTTTTAAAAAAAAGCGATCTAATCCACAACTCAATTATGTTGGTAACCCTAGTTTTGTTGTTTAGTTTTCAATAATTTTAATTAAGATGTTGACTGTTGTTATGGCTACTGAAAATAATATGGTGCGAGTTTATCAAAATCTGGAGATACAGAGAACCCTTCATTCGTAGGGGTGGGGAACGGGAGGGGATGGGATACGCGTCCTGTTTGAAACGGGTACCCGGTCCCATTTGGAGAGCAATCTTCATCCCATGTCCCAAACTCATACGGGTTAACGGGTACCCATCACCCGTACGAGACGATAACGGTTACCAATACTACCGTACAATTGACCACAATTGGGAGTGGCATAGTTGACTGCGGGTAAAATAAATTGTGCAATCCTTACGTACGAAATGCTGTCAAGCAATCTTGTTCTGGATAAAAGAAGACCCTGCAATTGAAAAATAAAGCAAGTGTTATTTTCTTACTGGTGCTTTTCCCCATGAAATTACCAGAGCCGAGAGAGATTGTGGTAAGAGTGAGGGTATCAGACTCTTCTGCTACCCAATTATACTTTGAGCACTTCATTTTCAAGTTGCTGAATAACGAGGGGAAATCTCTATCTGCTTTGCTATTTCTGATGTACTCGATTCATTTAACTTTGGACTAATAATGGGTATCACGGGTACCCGTTCGTAATACCCAAACGGCTATTAACGGGTAATCCGCGCATATCCAAAGTAGCGATTCTTGATCCCAAGTCCTATCCCATAAAAAAATATGGGTATTTGAGTACCCGTAATCCTAAAAAAAGGGACGGGTATAGATATACTCAAATACTATAGGTGGCGTCGAGCGCGAGATGCACCTGCTTCTTCCCTGTTTGTTTTGCTTTGATTCAACTGTTTCCTGCAAAAACCTATTCGAAACTTTTGCCCAGAGCAAGTGAAGAACTTTGGTAAGGAAACTGTTTTGATCGAATAGAAATGAAAACTCCTTCCCTTCTCGTGTTTGTGGTGTGGCCAAAGGAGAATGGGCTTCTACTCTGTCGTGGGTTAAACTTAAGGCCCAAACTATGTATCCTAATCTAATAAGCCCACTTTACCTGTAACCTAATCCTCACCGTTTCACTAATGTCAAACCAACCTTCTCCACTCCTCTCCCACCAGTCGGATCTGCCTCCCCTGCAACTTAACTTAAACCCAGAAGCAAAAGCAGAGCATAGCAAAACAAATTCGGCAGAACACGCTAGTAACTGAAAAGAAGCAACCCACCGGAATTTTTACGTGGTATCCGATGTTAGGTGTTAATGAACCTAACACCGACAAATCCACGGTCAGAGAATCGCTCTTTTGCGATTTCTGACGATCCACTAGGAAATTGATCTTGAAGCTCACTTACAGTATACACACTACACTTTCGTTCGATCTGCACACTGCTCGATCGACGAAGCGTATCTGAACCTATCAGCAATCCTGCTAATAGAAACCACCTGATACACCCTTGTACCAGTACCCAGAAACCCTCACCGTTCTTGTGCTGACTTTTAACTCAAACCCTTTTGCTCACACTCTTGCAGCTGTCTGATTTGATTACAATGAAACGTCTGCTCTGCATACTAAGTTCCACCTCTATTTATATTCATCTCGTCTCTATAGCCGTTAGACCAGAATCAATTCCTTTCCTTGCCTGTTCTTCTTCTTTCCATATGTGTGTTGTTGACGGTTTGAGACAGATTTCCCATATCTTCTTCCAGCTGTTGTCTATTGGATATTCCCTTGAGGTGAGAGCTGATTTCCAGATTGCGCTCTTGTGGATTTTGCTGAGTACTATTGCAAAGCTGCTCTCAACATTCTCCCCCCCAGCTTAGCAATGACCACCTTCTGCAAAATCAAACACAAGAATACTTCGACAGGACATTGAGCAGAAAAAGAATAGCTTTGTTAACAAACCTTATAAATAAGCATCGTTAACCAAAACTCAATCCAAACTCAAAAGAGTTCAAAATTCAGACCAAACACAATCATTATCCCAGCAAAAATTTCTAAAAGAAAAGCGTGCCCTCTCCAACACTCAAACGCAGGGGACTAGAAGTCATATTCCAGATCGGACTCATAGTCCGAGATAGCTTCTTCAGAGAAGTTGTCCTCCATAACTTCTTCAGGATCTTCCTCGGGTTCCTCAAGCTCCAGGGGTGGATTTTCTGGCATCTTGGCCCTGATTTTGATACTTTTCCCTGCTGTTTTTGGACGAGAATCGATCTGGGTGCCTTTTCCCTGCGACTTCGAAGCCTCCCCCTTAATCCAAGCTCCCAACTTCCTCTTTCCTTGGTCCTTTGATTTTGATTTTACTCCCCCTTGGCCATTGCGAGGTGTGCGAACGCCAACTGAAGCGTCTACCCGTCGCAGTACATGCTGAGCTCGTAGAGTGTCCAAAACATTGACAAGCTGAACTTTGTCATCAAGATCAGCTCCTAGACAGCGAAGATACCTAGTGATTTGAGGACCATAAGGGAGATACCCAGCATTGTTGATATCACTATAAGTGATCATGTGATGGAACATGAGATGAGGCAGGCTAAGCTTTCGATTTGACACTGCATTAGACATGATCCAGAGATCCAGAGGCGTGACCACAGACTGATGGACAGTGCGAGGGAGAAAGATACGGGTAATATAGAAGTGTAGCACTATCAATTCATCAGTGAGATGACAGAGCATAGTGGAATTCGAGTCACTTGGTTTGACAGATGTAAGCCGAGCGATGGCATCTTTCGGGTTTAATAGGTAGAGATAAAAATCATGCTCACTCATGAGTGATCTTCCTTCAGTGGAGAGCTGCAGGGTCTGAGATAACAACTCCACGGTGACAGTATGGCTGAAACCATACACAGTTGAGGAGAAGAAGGCTGGACGAGGATTGTGGTCTCTACGAAGGCTCGCATAGAACATACGAACTGCCTCGGGACAATAGGTAAATCGCTGCTGCTCCATCACTGAGCTCCAGCCAAGAGCTTGAATGAGCTCTTCCACCCTCAGCCGATATCTAGAGAAAGTGGCAGGCTCTAGGGTATAGGATGGGATCAGTCGCCTATGACAAAAGTAACGCAGATAGCGAGGGTAATCCTCAGGATTCTCACACACCTTGTTTGTGAAAACAGAGGCACGAGCAATGATGAGAGAGACCTGGGGGTTGAACGCCATTTTGAGGGAGTTTGATCGGATGTTTGGAAGAGAGTTGATTGGTGAGGAGAAATGAATCCGAGAAGAAGGTTTAAATAGAAGAAGGTGTAGACCAGAAGGGATGAATAGTAATTATGAGAATCAAATCAGTTAGATGAAGAATAGGAAGATTAAGATTGATGGCAGTGAAGTTACCACAAGATCATTCAGACTTAACATAACAATTCAACCTACTGCCCAAAGACTGAGATGTGATAGAGAATCAAATCACAGAGCTGTCAAATTTTAAAAAGGAAGGTTTTGAGAAGACTTACTCGGGTTTCCTTTAGATGAGTAAGAGAGCAGAGACTTGCCTGAAATTGTCATGGGCTTATGGGAACCTTCTCTGCATCCATAGTGAGACTTGAAAAATGTTTGAACTAGCACACATCCTCAAACCGAAATAGTCCTAATTCCCTTCTAATGACAGCAAATTGCTCGGTACCTAAAGGCTTGGTAAAAATGTCTGCCCACTGAAACTGTGAGGGGATAAATTCTAAGCAAATTTTATTTTCTTGAACTAACTCTCTAATGAAGTGAAACCTGATGTCTATGTGTTTAGTTCTTGAGTGCTGAATCGGGTTCTTGGCGATGTTTATTGCACTCGTATTGTCACACAAAATTGGCATGGGATTATCACACTTAACACCAAAATCATGCAATTGATACTTTATCCAGATCAGTTGGGTACAGCATGATCCGGCTGCCACATACTCAGCCTCAGCAGTAGACAAGGCTACAGAGTTTTGTTTTTTGCTAAACCAAGAAACTAGAGATGATCCTAGGAAATGACAAGCACCAGAAGTGTTTTCCTATCGGTAAGACTACCTGCGAAGTCTGAATCGCTGTAACCTACCGGATCTAAGCTGGACTGAGTAGAGTTCCAGAGTCCTAGAGACGCAGTTCCTCCTAAGTATCCGAAAATTCTCTTTACTGCTGAGAGATGACTTTCTCTAGGAGAACTCTGAAACCGAGCACAAAGACACACACTAAACATGATGTCCGGCCTGCTTGCAGTTAAGTACAACAGTGACCCTATCATGCCTCTTGATAGACCGTCATTTACACATGTTTTTACCCCCATTCTTACACCGTTTGAGGTGTTGATTCTCGTGTTTTAGGCCGATTTCACGCTAGGTTGTGCTTGTTTGTGATGTTTCAGGTCCTAGTACGTGAATGAAGGCTTAGGAGCGAGTCTGGGGTCGATTGGACGAAGAACGGACGAATGGCGAGGTTTTTGGGAGCTGCACGGGCAGACCAGGGAGGCTGCACGGCCGTGCACGGTTGCAAGCTGGCCGTGCGCCTCATGCCGAGGAGCTGCACGGGCAGGCCCTGAAGATTGCACGGCCGTGCACCTGGCCGTGCAAGAAGCCTGAGTTCGACTTAAGGGATACGCTGCGTTTCATGGTGCACGGCCAGAATGGTGAGGTGCACGGCCGTGCACCCTGGCCGTGCAACTCGGGAAAACCCGGTTTTAAAGCCTAATCCGAGCCAGAAGTGAAAAAACAGTGTTTTCAGAGCAAAAGCAGAGCCCTAGAGAGAGAAAGTACGAAGAACACATCCTAGAAGCTGTCTTAGAGCTGGATTTCATCAAATCGAGCCTGGAGATCGTCATAGGAGTGAAAATCATCGTCCCGGAGCAGATTATCCTCATCGTTATGAGTATGACTAATCCGATTCTTGTTTTCTCTTCTCTCTCTATGGAGTAGAACCCTTCTCTCACTTGGGGATGAAGAACCCTAGTTCTATGTGTTAGGGATTGATTGTAATGACTTGGGATGATATTACTGTTTGGTTTTAATCGATTGAGACATGCTTTATTGAGTCAATTGAATCCTGATCAAATTCTCTTGATTTCTGCTTTAACCTATGATAGATAGAATCTGATTAGGTTAAGAGAGCTTCCTTGATTGATAGTGGTGAATTGGTTGTGCGAGAGTCAATCAATTTACTGCTTTGTACTGGAATCTAATTCCAGTAGTGAATTTCTATTCTTACTGCTTCAGCTTTCTATCCCGGTGAAGGCTAGTCGTCTGCCGGGTAGTTAGACTGAGAGGGCTTGGTCAGCTTAAGAGATTCCAAGCTACTGCCGGATCTTTCGCAGTCTAATCAACAGTAAATCAACCCAGGGTAAATTGCAATTGAAACCTAACTAAGGAGCTAGGGGGATTCATTCCCGAGTGACTCTTTCCTGCTTAAGAAAACCGAATAATTTCCTGCTTTATTTCTGCTTTCAGTTTAAACAACAATCACTTACTCTAGTTGGCTAGATAACAGAGAATCACTGAGTAAGCAGTAGATCTAGAGCCCGGGTTGATAATATAACTTGCCTGTTACTGCATTCCCGGTCTGCGATTACACTTGGTCGCAGATTGGTGTTGTGTTTTGGCGTGTCACCTCTGTATAGTTTATCACTCACAGGAACCCCAGATTCGTCCTTATCTAGCTTCAAATTGGAAGCCATGGGAGTAGAGGCAGGTTTCAAATTCTCAAGACCAAACCGATTAAGGGACCATGTCAGAATTTGTTACTCTAGCTTTTATTTTCTGCTTTTTATTTCTTCCACCTGTGTGCCTTCACGGGTTGTTTCTGCTGATAGTGTGCAGGTAGTGCATGACCCGTAGCCAGTCGGGAGATCTACTACCACTAGACCAAGAGCTTGAACGAACCTGCAGAAACTTCAAGCGGGCTCTAAAGGCGCGACTGGCTGCGGAGGAGGCGCTATCACAGCTGCAGTTAGAGGAGGAAGAAGAAGAGATGGCTGAACCAGGGAACCATGCTGTGATCCCCGAGGAGCAGACCATGGGCTCCTACTGGACCGCTAGGGCTGCGGACATGAGGACACCCATTCAGCACCCTCAGGTCCCAGCCAACAATTTTGAGGTGAGCACCTCCGTGATCACCATGCTGCGCGGTTCAGTAGTGTTCCGTGGTAAGGAGGGAGAGTGCCCTCGATCACATCTCAGGCGATTCCACGAGCTCATCGATGGAATCAAGATCAATGGGGTACCAGCAGATGCCATCCAGCTGAGGTACTTCCCATTCACTCTGGAGGGGCAGGCCAAGGAGTGGCTAGACACTCGATCTCCGGGCTCCATCACCACGTTCGCCAACCTGGCGGACAAGTTCCTCACCCGCTACCATCCTCCATCCAAGACAGCTGACCTGCAGAAGCAAATTACACATTTTGCTCAGGATGAGGATGAGACCATCAGGGATGCATGGGAGAGGTACAACAGTCTTTTCCTCAGGTGTCCCAATCATGGTTTCAACGATGCGTTCAAGGTGGGCACCTTCTATCACGCCCTCTTCCCGGAGGACAAGCAGCTGATCGATTCGGTTTGTGGCGGGAACATGCTGACCAAAACCCCGCCACAGCTGAATCAACTCTTTGAAGAGATGGCGGAGAATGGTTATGATTGGGGCACTGCCAGGAGATCGAGGAGAGCACCAGGCCGGGGTGTGCATGCTGTGGGCACCCAGTCATCCGATTTGGTGCAGGTAGTATCGAAGCTGGTCTCAGCTATCGATCGTTCCGGGATGATTCCAGGGACCGGACAGCAGCAGGCGATGCTCTGCCAGTGGTGCAAGAGCACCCATCATATGGTGGAAGACTGCCAGGCGATGAAGGAATCGACCACGCCCCAGGAGCAGGTGAACTTCATCAACAATGTCAGGCGCAATGACCCCTACAGCAACACGTACAATGAGGGGTGGCGCCAGCATCCTAACTTCTCCTGGACTGGGCCAAATCCCAGACCACCAGCTCCACAGGGACCACCGGGCTTCCAGAGGCCACCATATCAGCCCAGACAGGGGCAATTCCAGCAGCCAGGTGCAGCCCCTGCTGCCCCAGTGCAGAATGATCAGATGGCTGAACTGCGGGACTTGGTGGGTTCTCTTGCCAGTGTTAGTGCTCAGAAATTCAACACCTTTGAGCAATTCATGGAGAAGGCCTCGGGTCAACTCCTGGCTCTGGAAGCTGGTCAGAGGAATACACGGGCTGTTTTGCAGGATATCCAGACCCAGCTGGGGAGCGTGGCCCAGGCAGTGGCTCAAAGGGCTCCTGGTACTCTACCAGGGCAGACCATCCCTCACCCGCCTACCCCGAATGAGCGCTGCAATGCCATCATGACCAGGAGTGGCAAGATGACTGTTGATCCCCCTGCTCGGGAACCGGAGAAAGAAAGCCCTGTCTTAGCGGTTCCAGTGGTTGAACAGGAAGTAGAGAAGGAAGTTGAGATGCCTGCACCTAAACCGCAACCAGTAGTGAAGGAGTATGTCCCTAAACTCCCTTTCCCTACCCGGTTGCACAAAGACAGGCTGGAGGCAGAGTTCGAGAACTTCATGGCCATGCTTAAGAAGCTGAATGTCCAAGTGCCCTTCCTGGAGGCACTATCGCAAATGCCAAAGTATGCGAAGTTTCTGAAAGAGCTTCTCTCAAAGAAGCAGAAGCTGAGTGAGCTGGCCACGGTAGAGCTCAGCGAGGAATGCTCGGCTATTCTGCAAAACAAGCTTCCGCAGAAGAAGAAGGACCCAAGTAGTTTTACTATCCCGTGCTCTATTGATAAATTGCATGTAGAGAAGTCCTTGGCGGATTTAGGTGCTAGTATCAATGTTATTCCATATAAATTGTTCATGAAACTAGGCCTAGGTGAACCCCGTGCTACTAGGATGACCCTTCAATTAGCTGACAGATCTGTAGTGCATCCTAGGGGTATAGTGGAAGACCTTCTGGTTAAGGTTGGCAAATTCACATATCCCGTGGATTTTGTTATCTTGGACATCAGTGAGGACACAGAAGTGCCTCTTATACTGGGAAGGCCTTTCCTGGCCACCGCCAAGGCTCTCATAGATGTGCATGATGGGACCTTAGTTTTGAGGGATGGCGAGGAGCGAATAACGTTTTCTGTTGCTGATACTATACCTGCTTCGTCACCTCTGCATGCTGTTTCTCACCAGCAGCACGAGTCTGTCGTGTATCCTTCTGTGCTGCCTATTTTGCAGGAACCGCCTCCCACACCTTCGCCGCCACTCCGGACCACTCCGTCACCCAAAGAACAGATCAAGGAGGAGTGGCGGCCGAAACTGCCGGCAGCTAAGCCTGCTCGAAAGGAAGCCGGAGACCACTATGAGCTGGTCCCGCCCCGTCCTTGGCCATCCGAGTATTCACTCGCTTGCATCCTACCGGATGGCCAAGTTGAGCTGGCGAATGCAGGTGGCCACATTCGTCGCGTGCATGGCCACCATTTGAAGCTGTACCTCAAGAGCGATGTGGATCCGCTCTTGAAGGCACCTGATCCTACACTTCCCTGAGCATCCATACTGGCGTCCAGCTAAAAGACGGTAAAGAAGCGCTTGTGGGGAGGCAACCCCACTGAGGTTTGCATTTTCTTACTCTTTTTCCTTTGATTTTGTGTGTTTTTGAGTCTTGAGACGTTGATCCAGAGTCCAGTGTCGTTTTTGAGGGAAAACAGGTTGATTTCGGGACTCCAACAAGTCGCACGGCCAGGACCACAACTTGCACGGCCGTGCGGAACCCCCCTTGACCGTGCGAGCTCTCGGCCAAAACCGCATGGCCAAAAGCGCTTATAGCACGGCCGTGCGCTCATCCTGGCCTGGCCGTGCGTCTTGCACGGGCACAATAATGCCTCGCATGGCCGTGCGGGTATTCCCCCTTGGCCGTGCGAGCTCTCGGTAAGGATGGCACGGCCATATGTGCCAGGTGCACGGTCGTGCGCTTCTCCTCGGCCAGGCCGTGCCGGCTGCACGGGCAAAAACCAGCCTTGCACGGCCGTGCGCCCCTGCCCGTGCAGCCGAGGCACGGCCTAATTATATGGCCTGCACGGCCATTGTGGTCAGAAAACTAAAACCACTCGCCGGAATCCTCTGCCCTCGCCAGAAAACCGCGCAAAACCCATCTTTTTTCGATTTTTTCGGCCACTTTGGGTAATTTTTTCACCAAACCAACTACAAACCCACTCTTTCTATACCCAAAGCGGCCTATCCCTCGATTTTGAGCGAGTTTGGGCGACGTTTTAGTCGCCGGAGGAGAATTCCGGCGAGACTCCGGCGAGACTCCGACGAGCATTTCCGGCCAGTTCTTCGGCGTTTCATCACTTCCATTGTCTTCCCCTCATCATTCCCTACACCTCTACTTGAGTCTCCAGGTTTGATTTTGCCCCTAACTATGTTAATTGTGGAGAATTGAGTGTGTAGGGTGTATGTTAGAGAACCTTATTGAATCATGTGAATCTTATGAAATTGATTGAGGGGAATGCATGGGATGTGATTGAATTATGTTGGGCAAAGTCCCCTTTGATTGTTTAAGCCCTTGTGTGCAAGAATTTGGCCAATTTCATGTTTAACTTAGTAGTGCACACAAGGTGTTCGCTGAAATGCCTGTTTTCCATGCCCGGTTGTGGCCACCGGTTGGGACCCTTAATGATGTAGTTTGAGGGTGTATTTGCTATGGATGTGAACCTTGAGTTGCCTATTTTCTTGTGAATGTGCACCCCCACCCTGATTCTGCTTGATTTATCGAGATTTTGACCCCCGAACTATGGATGAAACCATGGTTAGGCTGTTTTCTGTTCTTAAGTGTGGGGGTGCGCTTGACCTTTTTCTTTGGCTCTTTTGGGTTCCACTTTGGGTTGTTGTTTTGCAGGGCAATGGCGAAACCTAATTTCCAGCACCCGTTCATCCGGGATCTGAGGAGGGGACCCACCGCAGAGCGCTTCAAGGAGGTCGCGGAAACCCCGTTTGGGTCACACCATTGCTGGTCCAAACGGGAGTTTCGGCGATTGCACTGCTACGAGCAGCTCTCCGCCGCGGTCGCCAACACCGCCTGGCGTCGTCTGCTCCAGCTCTGCAAGAAGGTCTACTACGAGCCGGTGTGGGAGTTCTACACGACCTTCAAGCACAATACCACGGACAACTGGCAGGACGGTACGGCCGTCCAATTCAGGCTGGGCGGGGTCCCCCGGTCCTTGAGCTACCACGAGCTGGCCGAGGCTCTCGACCTCGACCTCGACGACCGTGAGGACTACGTCACCGAGGTGAATGAGCCACCGGAGGTGGACTTCGGGAGGCTGTACACCAGCCTGGCTCGGCCAGGCCAGACGCGTCCCTTCCGGTCCGGGAGGACGAAGGCCTCTACCCTGCAGATCGACAACCGACTTCTCCACCACCTGCTGGCGAAGTCTTACACTCCTGCAGCTGACAGCGCCGGCGCCATCACGAAGAGGCCCCTGTACTTCCTCCATTCGATCCGCCAGCGCCGCCATCCTCTCCACCTGGGTTCAGTGGTGGCCAAGACCTTCGAGAAGACGGCCACAGAGCTGAAGAGCCTCCACTGCGCCCCCCTCATCACCCGCCTGGCCACCTTCTTTGGCCTTTCACTGCAGGGGTGCACCGAGGAGGGGGACACCCTCATCTTTGGCAGCACGACGATCAGGAAGATGCTGCTGTTGCGGGAGAGGAACGGTGTTCAATGGGTCGATGGGTTTCCGGAGCCTCCGATCCCCGCGGAGCCCGTACCAGAGGAGGAGGAGGCTGCCGATGAGGTGGATCCCGAGGAGGTGGATGCTGCTGCTGATGCTGCTGATAATCCCCCACAGACTGACTTCCATTTCGGGGGTAGCAGCTCCGCTTTCCAGGGCCAGGATTACTTCGCCCAGCAGTTCGAGCAGCTGAGGATCCAGAACCAGCTGCTCCTCGATCACCAGATGCAGTTCCATCAGCAGTATGCGGCCGACCAGGCCGAGTACCGGACCAGGATGGATGCTTATGCCGAGCGGCTGAACACGATCTCGACTCAGCAGGGCGTGACTCTTGCCCACATCGAGCGGGAGAAGCGCCGTTCCCGGCGCATGCAGGAGGTCCAGCAGCACCTGCTCCAGCTGCTCCCGGGCGAGCCACCTGTCTGGAGGACTCCCTGGGATGACTCCCCTCCACATGACGGTGCTACTGGCGCTGCGGATGATGACGCGTTCATGAACGACATCGACCTCGACGATCTTGGCGACGAGTAGGCTGTACTCGTTGCCCGTCTCAGTGTGTTTTCTTTTTCATTTTAGACTTTTGTGTGTTTGCTCCATGTGTGCGGAGCTTGAACTTAGTGTCGTTTGTTTTTGTTTTTGGTTTTTCCTTTGTGGTTTGATGTAGCCGTCTGGGCTAACACTTATCCCTAACGCACAGTGTGCTAGTGTGTTTCTGATGTTCGATTTGTGCAGCATTGTCCACTCTCCCGTTCGTTTCTCGCTGACTGGTCCACTTCCAGTCCCCCAGCAGTGTTCCTACCCGGTAACATCGTTCCCCTTATCTTTCCCTCTGCTCCATTGAGGGCAATGTCGTTCTTAAGTGTGGGGGGATGCTTTGTATCGGTTGGAATATTTATGATGGTGCTTGGAGCCTAGTCCGCTGTCCGAATCTTACGATTTGAGGGCTCCAAGTACTGCTGTTTGATCATATTGGCACTGTGTTTTGATTGATGAATTGAATGGTTTTCGGATTGATGCATGACAGCTGTTTGCGACTAGGACAACCTATGATGAGGACTGAGATGTGCAGTAGAGTTGTGTAGAGGTTCAGTTTTTCAACTGTTTGCTTGCCAACTGTGACTTGATCTGACTTGATCTGATTACTTGTTCTTAACAGTCGTTTATGCATCTAGTTCAGGGTAGCAGAATGTGAGATAGAGCATATAGGTAGCCATGTGAGATTTGAGCCTGCTCGTTTCTTTCTTGTGCGATAGATCCCTCTTCCATGATGTGTAGCATTCACGTTGTCACTAGGTAAGATGATGGGGGCATAGGATTAGCCCACGCCCAAAACTGACCGTCCTGATGTGTCATATCCCCTAGTCAGCCCCTTTGAGCCGTGTGTTATCCTTTCTTTTTGGTCTATAATGGAAAAAATCACCCCTGTTTACATCTTTTAGAAGGTTCCACAGAGTGGTTTTTATATATTCTCTGTTGTTTCTGCTAAAGTCTATGTGAGTGTTGGAGGTAGTGCTTAAAAGTTGGGCAGGTGTTTGAAGTTTATGCAGAAGGGGTGGCTCTCTTAAGAAATGAAAAGAAAAATGAAAGTGAAACAAAGAAAAAAAATTGAAAGTAAAAGAGAGCCACTACCAAAAATCTGAATAATGCCCCGTAAGTAGTGTTTCTTAGCAGTCTGGCTTGGAAATGCTGATGTTTATGCCTCCTTCGCTCTTGTGCTCTTAAGATATTGAGTAATGCAGAATAGCAGAAAGAAAATACCGGGTTGCTGACTGTGTTTGTGTGTTCGGGAAATGTGGAACCTTTTGCTATGAATACTTCCACCACCTAAAAGGCCTTTTCCCCATGTCCAAGACCCTAGCCAGTCATTTGAACCTGTGTCTAAGACCTCCTGATTAGTTAGCGGTGACACCCCATATGTGAACTCTAGCATTTAGAGGCTGCCATCATGGTGAAGAGATGATAGGGATTGAGAGAAATAGCATGCGCATCTTTCGCATCAAATTGTCCTGACCCCACTGGTCGAGAGTGAGTGATTCATTTTCATTTTCTATATGCTCTTGTACCCCGGTGAGGACCTAGATTGCTCGGTCTCTATTCTGATGTCTTGAGTTGGATGCATGAGTTGACTGTTTTGAGTAAGTGGTTGAATCAAGTCTAGGTTGGCCAGTGAACAGAAGGGAGACTCTTCCTTTACTCGATTTGCTGCACTCGAATGTCCTTTGTGGTGGTTGTCCAGGTTGTGTTGAGGTTGTGCATGTATTGATGTTTGAAAACCATTGCGATTCACGTGTTCTGTGCCTTTATGACTTGTCCCCAATGTTGGTTGATTGAAATGTGTACGCTTACCTAGTGTTTGACTTGGTTTGCTTGGGGACAAGCAAACGGTTAAGTGTGGGGGAGTTTGATAGACCGTCATTTACACATGTTTTTACCCCCATTCTTACACCGTTTGAAGTGTTGATTCTCGTGTTTTAGGCCGATTTCACGCTAGGTTGTGCTTGTTTGTGATGTTTCAGGTCCTAGTACGTGAATGAAGGCTTAGGAGCGAGTCTGGGGTCGATTGGACGAAGAACGGACGAATGGCGAGGTTTTTGGGAGCTGCACGGGCAGACCAGGGAGGCTGCACGGCCGTGCACGGTTGCAAGCTGGCCGTGCGCCTCATGCCGAGGAGCTGCACGGGCAGGCCCTGAAGATTGCACGGCCGTGCACCTGGCCGTGCAAGAAGCCTGAGTTCGACTTAAGGGATACGCTGCGTTTCATGGTGCACGGCCAGAATGGTTAGGTGCACGGCCGTGCACCCTGGCCGTGCAACTCGGGAAAACCCGGTTTTAAAGCCTAATCCGAGCCAGAAGTGAAAAAACAGTGTTTTCAGAGCAAAAACAGAGCCCTAGAGAGAGAAAGTACGAAGAACACATCCTAGAAGCTGTCTTAGAGCTGGATTTCATCGAATCGAGCCTGGAGATTGTCATAGGAGTGAAAATCATCGTCCCGGAGCAGATTATCCTCATCGTTATGAGTATGACTAATCCGATTCTTGTTTTCTCTTCTCTCTCTATGGAGTAGAACCCTTCTCTCACTTGGGGATGAAGAACCCTAGTTCTATGTGTTAGGGATTGATTGTAATGACTTGGGATGATATTACTGTTTGGTTTTAATCGATT